GCCGCAGGTGACCTTGTCGCAACTACTTCCGGACTGTACAGATACGTTACACACGCCGGGCGAACCGTTTAATCGACGCCTTTGGGCAGGCGGAAACCTAAGATTTCCCGTGCGCAGTCCGCCTTTAGATGGTAGTCGCGCAGTGTGCATAGAATCCATCCGCAATGTGACAGTGAAGGGTCGCGAGGGTGACGAGAAAGTAATTGTCACCATCGAGCGACGCGTTGGCAATGTCTCCGAACAAGAAACAGCCGACAAGACCTGGGACCGGATATGGAAAGAGAACGAAGAGAATGTGGGAGAATCGTCGGTCATTGAGAACCGGGATCTCATTTTCATGCGTCTAAAAACTAGCGCCCAAATCGAGGCCGATAAGGCGCAGTTCGGAAAGCCTGGTAGGACTGTGAAACGTGAGCATATACTCTCCACCATTGAGTGTAATATAAAATGTGCTAATTCTTCTGGCGCAATAAAGCTCCCTCCGACGCGACATTCCGCCATACCATCATACCTACTAAAGCGCTGCTGTTCCGATTCTCGGCATTGACTTTCAATGCCCATTCCATTCACCTTGACAAGGGCTATACTCAGAACCAGGAGGGGTATCCCAATCTTTTGGTGCATGGTCCGTTGACGCTCACGCTTCTGTTGAGTGTGCTTCAGCAACAGCTGAGTAGATTGAATCTCTGCATCAGTGACATTGAATATAAGAATATAGTGCCGCTTTTTGTTGAACAGGAGCTAGTGATTTGTGGCAAGCCTAAGAATGATACTGGGACTTGGGATGTGTGGATTGAAGGTCCAGATGGAGGGTTGGCTGTCCGGGGTACTGCGCGGACGAGGTCGGAATAATACGATAAATGATACGGACTGTGAAGCACTAATACCAGATCATTACAGAATGTAGGTGAAAAGGCAAAATGGGTGCAATTTATACAGACAGTCGGCTACTAAACCAAACTACATGTGCATATATCCGTATGATGAGTGATGTTGAATAGTACAACGAGGCCTATATAGTATGTATTAGAACAAGGATTCTTCTCGTAAAAGTGATACTGGGAGGTAATAAGAATAAATTGTAAACCTGTCTATGTAATCTCTTCATACTTGGAATAGACGGTCATGTGTGTGGACAGAAGGAAGTATGATGACGCTGCATTCCATTGAATGGAAGCAGCCTAAATTGAAATACCTTTCTGTAATATAATATGATGCAAGTTGTATGCAGAAACTGGTGATGCATGTGTTGAACTGCATTGACAGCGCTAATATTGATTTCGTCGGAGTTCAACATTCTTGGCAAGCCAGAATGTATGATGAGATATTAATAGTTGTAATCGTGTTAACCCTGGAACTACTTAGCTAAGGTTATTATAAGATGCATGTAGTTAAATAAACTGTGGTGTGGAGTAACCGCGATACTATCATTAATAGCTAGGATATAACTATCTCGCTTCGTATACTCCGTACCATACAAAACACTAAGCCAGGCAGAATGTACGATGTTCTCTGACCAAAACGTATATTTCTCTAGAAACCATAGCAGAATCTTAAATTCCAGGCAGGGAAAGGTTTATCAATTCCCTGGATATAACATGTATAAGAGAGAGAGAAAAGCGGACAGACCGTATTGGAAATCATGGGAATCTACCACCAGCCCCTAGAAATTCCCCAGTAACATAGGTCGACTGATCACCTAGCAAAAATATCACACTGTTGGCAATCTCCTCAGTACTGGCCAGTGTGAGGCTGAAGAAAAGTAATGTTACGTTAAACCATGATGCTCTCATGTAGACCACCTCGAGTAGATCGGTGTAGATCATCTGCATCATCTGGCGATCAAGCTCACTCGGCCCGGCAACATTTGTACGGGTTATGGCCCGAAGGGTGGGACAAAGTGGTCAAAAGAAGAGCCATGGTTTAGATAACTACGTATCTCATTTCAAAACAGAAGTTCAAACCGAAAGAAATTCCCCCAAACACTGGGTTCTCCTACTGAAATTCCAAGTAATCTAACACCGCGTTCAACTCTGCAGACTCGCCTAACTCCTGCCCCAATTCTGCTACAATCGTCCTCGCAGCTTTCATATAGATGGAAATTTGCTGCTTGCAATACCGAGCACTCCCGGTGGATTCCATATACTTGCGGGCGAAGAGCTTGACGTCGTTGTCTGTGGTGCGTTGTTTGAGAATATGTAGTAGTTGCATATTTCCACCATCCGATTGAATGCTGTGGATGATGGGGAAGGAGAATTTGCCCTCCGTAATGTCCTCGCAGAAACCCTTGTTCTCGGTATAGGCTTCAGACCAGAGATTAAGATAGTCATCTTTGATCTGGAAGATGATTCCTAGTAGATGAACGATGGGAACAAGGTTCCTGAAAAGGTACGATATCATTTGTTAGCCACAAAATGAAAATGAAAGGCAGCCAGAAAAAGAAAAACGTACTTCTCACTCTCACTCTCCAGTTGCAACAATCGGATAGCGAGACGGAAAAGACCTCCGGTCTTATTCGACACCATCTCTAAATACTGCTCTTCGGTAGGACAATTGAGCGAGTCCCGCCAGAACAGGTCCATCCCTTGGCCCCGATGCAAATTGAGCAGTTCTTCGGTGAAGATCTCAAGTGCCTTGGGGCTATTGAGGGCATAGAGTCGCTGTTGGGCCAAGAAATAGGCGTAGTTGGCCGAATTGATAGTTTGAGCAACCCCAAAGATCCGATGAGCGACAGGACGGCCTCGTCGCAAGAGAGACATATCTTGGATGTCATCAATTCTGTATACCATTAGCAGATAATCAGGAATGGAAGGCAAAGAGTAGACCAAACATACAATAAAGATGCAGTGTGCAAGAGCTCAATTACAGAGGTAATGACTTTGAGGCTCTCCTCGGGAACTTGAAGCCATTGATTGAAACTACCTATAAGTTTGTTTCGGAAGTTTTTCCCAGAACACGCCAGAAGATAGTCGATGGGAGCAGCAATGATCTGATCAAGAGGGTGGGTAAAGGTTAGTTTTGGTGACTATCACAGAAACCCAGCTTTGGGTTGACACACGCTTTCATTGTCCCCCGCGGGATGATTGACCATAGCAATCTCGGGCGGCATCTTGATCGTAGCAAAGTTGGGCGCTATCTCAATTGGTGAGACTTCCTCCACGGTTGAGTCCAACCCGTTCTTAGATAACTGTTTCTCGTCCAGGGCAGGGGGACTCGACGTCGGGGTCCAATTGTGTTTGTGCGGATCCTGTAAGGCTGTAAACATGTTTAGTTCAAACAAAGCCGCCATTGCTCGAGGTGGTAGGGTTGCTTCCATGATATCGGTGGTTTTGTGACAATAATCCAAGACAACAGGGTTGTTTTAGATAATTCATATCATCTGTTTCTCGTCAGGTAAGCCAAATTCCTGATTTCCTGATCCTGGTTTTTTTACTTAAAAAAGCAAAGCAAAACAAAACATCAATAAACCAGCGATAACAATATTGATCATCGAGCATGACCCAGTTTCCCCAAGCTGATCGTGATAACCGTACGGAGTCAACGGAGCAAGTGCATACGGAGTACTTCATGTGTACAATGTACCTACACACATGTCATAGGTGCATGAAGATGTAAGATGCAGCCATATTTCTTCACTTATCGACGTAAGAAGGCAGGATCTTCATAAAACCTAGTCAGACAGAATTCTAGTCAAGAGTGTAATTAACGTGAAGATTGACAGTAAATACGTGGGTGAACAATATTGAATTATTTTGAGATGAATATCTTCATATTCCTCAGCCAACTGTTACCATATTTCCTAAAATAGTAACTCATTTACATGCAAAGTGGCTGAGTATAAGATTGCCACCCTTTTCTAGACTAGAACGAATAAAACAGAAACAATTTGCATCCAAGTTGAACTGCCTCGAATATTTCAAAAAGAAATATCTGATATGACTGCATGTATTTGTGTCTAGACCTTGTGCTCCCCAGATGGGCCAATTCTAGATACACAGATGCGTGCGTGGCTACTATTGCATTATCACTGCAAAACATTTATTGTGATAGCTTTGCATATGACTGATTAGATCTTAATTCCCTCAAATTTGAAGAGGACAGTCGGCAATGGAAGCAATGCGAAGAACTGTACCTAGGCAGAACGCCCCTATACATTCGTAGACTGACTAGTGTCGACATTGGAATGGGATTTTTTGAGGCTATAGATTGGTATATCCAGATACATACATTGAGTAACTGGAGAAGTGTTTTTTAAAATGCGTCTGTGTTTCATTCTACAATATAAATCTTTTCTTTCCTTTCTTTCTCCCTTTCCTTCGTTCTGATCCCATCTCACAACACTCAACCTCTGAATCCGAACAATTTCACCAAGACGACGATGACCTTAATAAAAACGATCGATCATTGGCTATACTTGAATGATTTTAGTCCGGGTGTTTTGGCATTGTTTACCTTATCTGCTTTCTTGTTATTCTGGGTGCTTGGGCCTCGGAGGTCCGAGAAGGTCCCATTTGTAGATGGGAGAACATCCGGCGAATTCTTTCACATTGGATCCCAACGCCAATTTGCCCATCATGGGGCTGACATAGTGAAAGCTGCCCAATCGAGGGTGGATAAATGGTCATTGCCAGGCTAATATACCGTGCTATTACAGGTTGCCCAGGCCTTCTATGTCATCACTTCCAGTGGCCAGAAGTTGGTGCTTTCAGGGGAGTATGTGATGAGCAATCTATGGTAGATTACTACTGTGTGTGGGGAAAAAGCAAGAGAAAGATTCTTAATTGCTAAAACTAATAATGCAGGGGTTTATATACCCTGCAACCCATCTGAACATTGCTCATTGTAGCAAACAACAAATAGCAAACAAATCTCAAAAGGCTCAGTCTGCAGCAAACAATCATGCATGCATGCATGGGAGTTCAACAGTATGCCAACGAACTACGCAGTCATCCTCATCTGAGTCATGGTCCAAGTTTGGAAATAGTACGTGTTGTTTATCGATGGCTTTGATCGTAAGGCTGAATTGCTTAACATTGCCTCAAAGGGAGGAACTTTCCCTTCTGTGGCCCCTCCTACCAAGGCGGTCTTCAAGATCCGCAGTTCTAAACATCGCGAGGTCGTCGAACAAAGCTGGCTCGAGATTGATAAGGATGAGAATCGGATGTTTGCAGATATTGGATCCAAGGTAAGCAAGTAATTTAAAGGCCGGTGGTGTTCAGGAAATGCGGATCTGATGAAATGGAGTCCATTGAGGGAAGAGGAATTAGGGCTAGGGGATCTGAGACTAGAACCAAGGTTGATGCCTGAACCCTTAGGTCATACAACATGCATAGCACATCCTTTTAGGCACAGACCATCTATCACAAGTTGTTCCGGTTTATATACTAACTATTGAGCCATAACTAGTTAACTAGTTACTAGAAACAAGTAACTAACTAATAGCTAGCAGTGTGAGTTGTCGAAACAGATGGAATGTGGATGGACCCATATTACGTATTACATAATCAACGGACCCCGGAGAAACTCTCCCCGAAGCTAGCTTTGCACACCTTTTTTCTTTCCACCTGTCCTTCTCTTTCTTTCTTCAACCACACAGTAATTTGGCTATTCTGTGAGCGGCTGTAATGATCTAAGCCTGTGATCAATTAACCATTTTGCATCTTATTCTTTCTCAAGATGGATGTCTTCTGGGCGGCTCCCCCGGTCATTAGGTATGCACGTCCCTATTCGCCGAGCCTCAAGCTCTCATTACTGACTTGTTATTCAGGACCCTTACAGCCTTGACTCTGGTTCAATCCGCTTTGATGTATAGCGGCTTACTGAGCTTCTATTGGGCGCCATTCCTGCCGAGCATGATATTCTCGTGGCCGCCGCAGATCTACCGGCTGGTCACACCATTTCTACTAACCGGACCACAATTTTCTTTCGTCTTTGATCTCTACCTCAGTATGATGCCTCGGTATCACATTGGCCTAGCCTGATCAGAGTGCTAATGTACCGATAGTGTACCACTACGGCAGTGCTGCAGAAAAGAGCATGGCCCCTGGAGAGTTCTTCATCTATCTCCTATTCGTAGCTTTCAACATCATGGTAAGTGGCTCAATAGAGTCTGCTTCTTTTTTTTTGTTTCCTGCATTCGCGTTCATATCCAATCCCTCGCTATAACTGCCCGCCCAGCTTCGAAATCTAGCTGAATTCGGTTCCTGAAGGCGAGGGAGAGCACCCCTGCATCTGTGCAACACCATCATAATTCGCAAAATTCAGGTGTTGTGCAGGTGTGGGCATGGTGGGATTTCTTTCGAGCTCACTGGCGTGATTTCATATCGCGTCGGTATCGGAGGTGCCCTACATTTCTATATACATCATCTATTCTTTTCCAATACCATCCACATCCTATTTTACTTTTCATCCTGGTAGTCCAACACATCTCTTCCAAATTTGCTAACTTTCCTAAGCTCACTGCAGGTGGTTATCTGGGAGCGCCTTTCCTCTTGTCCCGTAAGCTTGCCGTAATTGGTTCCATTCTCACGCAGACACTGACTTGAAACCAGCCTTGATCATGGCTTTCGTCTACACGTTCTCCCAGACGAACCGAGGAACGAAGACGAGATTCTGGGTCGTTGACATCCCGGTGGTATTCCTGCCATACGCAATGCTTCTCGTCGGCATGGTGACGAACGGGTGGTATAGCGTGATGATAGATATCACGGGCATTGTCGCTGCCCATACTTATGATTTCCTCACACGCATCTATCCGACTTTCGGTGGTGGAAGAAATTTCATCACAGTCCCCGGCTTCGTGGAGAGATACTTTACCCAACATGACCCCAATAGCGGATACCGAGGATATGGAACGGCGAGCCGCGCACCACGGCCAGCTGAGCAACCCTCGTCGGCGTCAACGTCAGGATCATCCTGGGGCAGCTGGACCTCTTCGGGTTCTTGGAACGGCAGAGGCGCTGGCCGGAGACTCGGTTAGATCGAGAGCCATACAGGCTCTACGTATGTTGTGGCCCTGCATGTAACAGACGTTCCGGCGTTTATTGTGTCTACATGGACTTGTGACAGATAGTGATAACTAGTTAGTTAATAGTGATAATTGACAAGAACACGGTTTTGGGCATGTATCTGTCCACAAATACAGATTTCTTGAACCCCAGTAGTTAATTGTCATTGAAAATCTTTTATTAGATCAATTAGATTATTTCTTCCAATAATCTATAATATTAGCAAAACGTCTTAAAATTGGAAGTCCTTGGAACCGGAGGCGTAAAAAAGTCGAGAACTCCAAATCACGTGGTTCCTTCTCCAGGCGCTAAACCACTTCGGGCGCTGGAGCTGCCGCACTCGCAAAATTTCCTTCGACAAATTTTCGGGGTTTTCACCGCGCATCCTTCAACGACAACCAACAAAATGGCAGTCGTCAAGACCTCGGAGATGGACTACGCCATCAAGCCTGAAGCGTCCGTTCCTTCCGTTGATACATCGGATTGGCCGCTTCTGCTTAAGAACTATGAGAAGCGTACGCTTGTCCTTAAAACTCCACGCTTGACCAGCCGACATTGACTTTTTCTGTAGTGCTCGTTCGGACCGGTCACTTCACCCCTATCCCTGCTGGCTCCTCTCCCTTGAGCCGTGACTTGAAGTCATACATCAGCTCCGGTGTCATCAACCTTGACAAGCCCTCCAACCCTTCCAGCCATGAAGTCGTGGCTTGGATGAAGCGGATCCTCAGGTAAATTAAAATCCATCAAATCCCCTCAATGGTTTCGCACTTTTGCTAACCATCTTACCCTCTGTAGATCCGAGAAGACTGGTCACAGTGGTACCCTTGATCCCAAGGTTACCGGATGTTTGATTGTCTGCATTGACCGTGCCACCCGCCTGGTCAAGTCCCAGCAGGGTGCCGGTAAGGAGTATGTCTGTGTGATCCGTCTCCACGACAAGATCCCCGGTGGCGAGGCCCAGTTTGTCCGCGCTCTGGAGACCTTGACCGGTGCGCTCTTCCAGCGTCCCCCTCTGATCTCTGCCGTCAAGCGTCAGCTCCGTATCCGTACCATCCACGAGAGCAAGAACTACGAGTTCGACAACGAGCGCCACCTCGGTGTCTTCTGGGTCAGCTGTGAGGCTGGTACCTACATCCGTACCCTCTGTGTCCACCTGGGTCTCCTCCTCGGTGTCGGTGCCCACATGCAGGAACTTCGCCGTGTTCGCTCTGGAGCCATGGCCGAGGACTCTAGTATGGTCACTCTGCACGATGTTATGGACGCCCAGTGGGTTTACGACAACAACCGCGATGAGTCTTACCTCCGCAAGGTCATCAGCCCTCTGGAGTCTCTCCTCACCGGCTACAAGCGTATTGTCGTCAAGGACAGCGCTGTCAACGCCGTCTGCTACGGTGCCAAGCTCATGATTCCTGGTCTTCTCCGCTACGGTATGTGAACATCTTCCCCCTGAGTTTTTATTTTTATTTTTATTTTTTATTTCTGGGCCATCACTAACTTTTTTCCTTCAGAGGCCGGTATTGAGTGCCACGAGGAGGTTGTCCTCATGACCACCAAGGGTGAGGCTATCGCCATTGGTATCGCTCAGATGTCCACTGTCGAGCTCACCACCTGCGACCACGGCGTTGTTGCCAAGGTCAAGCGTTGCATCATGGAGCGTGACCTCTACCCCCGCCGCTGGGGCTTGGGACCTACTGCCCTTGAGAAGAAGAAGATGAAGACCGCCGGAACTCTCGATGTAAGTGGCTGAACTGCCTTTGCTTTCGTACAGCTTACTAACTTTTTTCTCTCAGAAATTCGGCCGCACCAACGAGGCTACTCCCGCTCAGTGGAAGAGCGAGTACAAGGACTTCAACCTTCCCGTCACCGGAACCTCCGCTGTTGCCCCCGCCACTGAGACTAAGACCGAGACCGAGACCCCCAAGGCGGAGTCCGCCGAGCCCGTGAAGGAGGAGGTCGAAGACAAGAAGCGCAAGCGCGACAGCGAGACAGCCGAGGAGAAGGCCGAGCGCAAGAAGAAGAAGAAGGAGAAGAAGGAGAAGAAGGAGCGCCGGAAGTCCAAGCAGGATGATAGCGATGACAGCGACTAGATGCACTCCAGGAAGGCCGTCAGGTCCCTTTCCTGTACCATATTTTGCTATTTCCGGAGTCTTGGGTCAAAAGGGAAATTTGTTCTATTCCAGAGTTTCATATTGAAGGCTGCCTATCTGTTGAATCTACCATTCTTTTAAATCTGAGTAACGTTAGCAAGTGGACTACGTACATGCAGCGCTTTGCTTTGTCCATAATGTTATTTTTGGGGTTTATATCCAAGTATATTGGCTAGACTTCGGGAATATATATGTAGCTATATACACGGGATAAGACTTTCTTGTCTTTATGAGGCATCATGGCAGGATGGTCGTGTGACCGCTCAGTGACCGCTCAGTGATCACTACTTCCTAGGTATGCGCATAACACCATGAGAAAAACCCTCTTCTAGGTAGAACTTTGGAATGGACTCGGCAAAGGGGAAAGGCCGCAATCATCAAATATCTTCTTCCCCCTCCACACTCATTAATATCCCTAACTGCCAATATGCCATCGCTCCCCGGACTTTTCTCTTCATTAGTATCCGGATTGTGGAGAAATGATACTCAACTCTTTGAGATCCCCAAACACAACACGCTAGCTGGACTACCCGTTGAGCTATTGCTGTCAATAGCCGATTTCCTCCCTCTGGTTGATGCGATCTGCATTTCCCTCTGCAATAATCGACTCTTTGATACGTTTCACCATCGGAATCATTCCATGCTGCCATCAGGAATAGACAAACTTCCCCTTTTGAAGCGCCTAGAACGAGATCTACCAAGCTACTTTATTTGCTATACTTGTCACCTTCTTCACAAGTATGATGCCTCGCAAGACTTTGGTCCCCGCTCGATCTTCGAGAGTAAAGCTGGGCCTCTTTCATGCTTCTCAAAATGGAGGCCAACGTTGGAACTAGCGATTTCGTCGCGTCAGGCCCGGTACATAATTAGCTTCTTACACCTTCAGCTTGCCATGAAGGGATTCTACCATGGCCCGCAATTTGGAATTAGCACAGAGGCCATATGCTACACTCAAGTTCAACACCACCTCAGACCGTCCGCCAGCCCTGAAAAAAACACCCTTTTCTCGATTGATGCACAGATTTGTTGCAAGCCTCCGGGTCTTGTTCTAAGGACTCAAGAAATAATGTCTGTTTCGGGTCATAAGCAATATCTAATGGATTGTAACCCAAGAGCGCAACCTGAGAAAATAGGAGAATCTCCCTTGACTATGTTTATTTGCCAGCACATTCATCGGGAAAAGCTTGCCGGCTTAATAAACCCCGTTGTGAAGGCTTAAAGCTCCTATGTCCACCTACAAGTGTGACCATTGCCATACCGATTTCCGTATTGAAATGTGCGAATACGGCACCGAGTTGGCTCTGATAATCACAACGTGGTTCAACCTCGGCGATGGTCTATCTCCAGATGATCCCCGTTGGAAACGGCATGCCGGGTTAACGTACCCTCTCCACACTAGCAAAGTGAGACGGAGCCCATGGAATGTGAAAAACACTCCCCGAGTCTTTTTTGAAAATGCGTCGCCTCGGTCGTTAGCAGCCTTGCGGGACTGCAATCTTTCCTATCTCAAAAATGGACGATACAAAAAGGTTATGTATAAACTGAGTTAGAAGGGCTCTGGTATACACCTCGTAAATCAAGCTGGTTCTTTTAAGGGATAGGGAGTTGAAAGGAAGGCAGTCGCTGTTGTTGGTTGTTAGATGGGATTACCACGAGGCTTCGATAAAGGAAAGTGCTGATCCCTATACTTTCTCTCAGTATAATTCTTCATCTAGTTCTATATCTCCTTGATAGGGTTTAAATCAGGTAAAAAGGTAGGCTGTTCTATCAAGAAATCAAGAGTCTCTTTAGTAGTATGCCTAGGCGTATTATCGTATATAACAATCAGATCTTACTCCCTTCTTACACGGAAGAAAGTTTAATATAGGATTCACTATATAGGTGTAGGGAATTCTAAAGTGAATTAAATCTGAACTGCATCGAAATTGAATCGAAATTAGGAAGAAAATTGGCAATGCGCAGAACTGACGGTAATATGGTCTAGTTATATGTTACAACCTGCCCCTGGAATGGCGAGTTACACACTAGGTCAAAACGCCATTATATCTAAGCATTACGCTCAGATAGACCAGTTCCGATATAAATAGTGCATGACATGACACTATAACTCTTCTTCCTCACGGCCCCCAACCCCGACTCCCATAAGGGGTACGACAAGACACTCTCGCCGTGGTACGCTCTGTGCGAGAAGAGCGGTTTCTTCTCCGGTATGTCATGACCTCCAAAAAAGGGCAAGGAGAGTGGGGTTTATTTCACCCCAGCTACCTGGATCACCAATGCGGCAATGGAACTCATCAAGCCAATTTTGAACAACGTTCGCAACAGACTGCTGGAGGTGATCCGAGCGCAACTCGAGGAAGGCAGGTATGCCGGTTGCTGGTTCGTGGCGTACTTGGCCTTCCTGGTCAAAAAATACCGGCCGAAGAAGACCCCAGAGGAGGAGGCCAAGGATAGACTCCCGGGGGAGGTCGATAGACAACCACTGCTTTTCAGGTCATATGTGTCTGGTGACTCCAGCACTCCGTCTGCTACGTTTACCAAGAAAACCACTACGATCAACACAGTCTGTGCGGTTGCGTCGTTCCTACTTTCTCTCGGCGTTGCCTTCTATACGGCCCTGAAAGACCAACAGACTAAGGAGACTACAGACAGACTTGCGCGGGGTATAGAAGCCTTGCAAAATGCTCGGCCTACGGTGCCTGAGCAGCCTGAGCAGCCCGTGCTACTGGAGGAATTTGTTGATCTACATCGGCGGGTTGGTAGGATTGAAACGACGGTGCATGGATAAGTACTGAAGAAGAATGGGCTTATATGCTGTTTTCGGTTCGGTTCGGTTCGGTTCCGTTTGGTTGGCTTGGTATATATATTTATTCAAAGCAATACGTGAAGCAAAAATGACATTTAACATGTTCAACCTCACATTGCACCATGCACTTCGACGTCAGAAATCTACTCTGATCTTAGATCCACGTAGGGAAACAACTTGAGCGTCTACCTGGACTTTTGAGATATCCAAAAAAAAAACTAGCCCATTTATCAACGATAGATTAATCTCCCTGCACTTTAAGGTTAAATTTGATACTAGAAGTGTATGCATGTTGTAGGTATAAATGTATGTTGTAGGCATAACCGCAAATGGAGGCGGTCAATGCTTGTCCTCGATGTGGATCTCGTGACTGGACTGGACGTTCTCTCCGCATTACCCTCCCCTCCACTTCATGTCTAGACCGTAATCCTCGACTATTATCCTTCGGACTTGAGTAGAGGAGTCAAACAGACTTCAACATGGCAGCAGAGCTGACATCCACCAAGCTCAACCCAGAGAGTCACATCATCCTGGTAACAATTACTCCGCACCTCCATGATGAAGCGGGTCCTAATCGACGTGCTTACACAGGACCAACCACTCCTTCGACTACCACATGAACTTGTCCGCAGAAACTTTAAAACCGTACAACGAGCCGTCGAACGAGAAAAGGAATATGTTATCCCCGCACTCAAGGAGACCGCATCCGCATCACTCTCCAACACCCAAACGCCCGATCAAACCCTCGCTGCACTCGACGCAATGATATCCAGAATGCAAGGTCTCAAAAGGAAAATGGAAAGTCTGCAGGAAGAAGAAAAGAAAATTCACAACCAATCTCGCAAGCGCATTCAGCACTTGGAGGCCCTACACAAGATCCCGAGTCTAGCCGATGTGAAGTATGACCAGTGGTCAAGGGTACGGCTGGACCGCTTACTCATTGACCACATGCTGCGCTCAGGTTACTCTGAAAGTGCAAAGCAGCTGGCCCAGGATAAGGGGGTGGAGGATCTCGTGGATCTAGGTGTATTCACCCAGTGCCAACGGGTTGTGGATAGCTTGCGGCGCGGGGAAACCAAGGAGGCATTGCAGTGGTGTGGAGAGAATAAGGCTGCACTGAAGAAGAGCCAGGTACGTCGAAACCGATTTATGCTGTCCTTGAAACCCAGCTAACTTAACATCTATGAAGCATAATCTTGAATTCGAACTCCGGTTGCAGCAATATATCGAGATGGTCAGGACACAAGACAAGTCGAAGAAGATTGAGGCAATAATCCATGCAAAGAAATACCTTATACCCAACCATCAATCTCAGAATCCTGAGATTATGCGCGCCGCAGGATTACTGGTTTTCACACAAGACACAAGAGCCGAGCCTTACAAAGTACGCCAAACTCTTATTTTTGATCAGCAGAGCTTTTACTGATGCATTACAGTCTCTTTTTGCGCTAAGTCGCTGGAAGTATCTCGCACGACTTTTCATTCAGACTCACCATGAGCTACTTTCATTGCCATCACAACCATTATTACATATTGCACTTTCTGCAGGACTCTCCGCTCTTAAAACACCTCTATGCCATTCAGCATTTACATCATCCAGCTCAAACTCACAGTCAACATCGACATCTGTGTGTCCTATCTGCTCAACTGAACTGAATGAGCTTGCACGCAAAATGCCATACGCCCACCACTCAAAGAGTTATGTGGAGAGCGACCCAATAGTTCTACCAAACGGCCGAGTCTACGGAAAGCAAAGACTAATCGAGATCAGTAGGAAGATGGGATCAGTGGAATCAGGCCACATCAAAGACCCAACAACAGGACAGGTTTTCCAAGAGAGCGAGATGAAGAAAGTGTACATAATGTGAACTTGGGCAGAAGGATGAAAACAAGCTAAGCTAAGCTCATTTTATACAGTTATATTTTTGACCATGATAGTATACATTTCAGCCCTTACTCGCTATCACTAGAATCATCATCTCTGCTCCTTTTCTTCCCTCCCTTTTTGGTCGGCTCCTTCTGCTTCACTTCAAAGACATACATCCGAGCCTCCCGATCCTCCCCCTTCCATCCTCCACGCTCCCCATCCTTCCCTTCAATATGTCCCGCCGTTCTCGCATGTGAATACCCCTCATAAGAAGTCCAAGGAAACCGGAAACTAGTCACAACAACCAGTCCCGCATGTCTCGCCAAATCCCTAATATTCCAAAGCGTATACGGCTCCCCCTCAAACAGAGTCACAAGAATCTGACCAGGCCCAACACGGAATCCCTTCCCGGTAGTATCATCATCTTTCCCGAGCTCCTCTCCCTCTCCTCCTTCATCATCCTCATCCTCATCCTCGTCTTCCTCTTCGTCACTCTCCTCCCCATCAGCATACACCCACTCATCATCATCAGCATCCATAAGCGGCGGCGGCTTCGAAACAAGAGGAACACAAGCCTTAAAGAACGCAACTAGCAGCTCCTGATTCGCACGAACCTGTCGGTTCACGTCCGTAGAGAGTCCGCCCACATGCGGGAAATTGAAACAGATCACATCCCACGGCCCGCCGGGCTGGTACGGTGGTCCCGCTGGCTCGTTCTGCTGATACCAGGCTGGTCTCTTGCGCTCGCGTCGGGTGAATCCCGTGCGGATTTCCTTGCCGCCGCCTGCTGGAGTGCCGAGTTTTCGGGCGTCCACGGAGAAGATGGCTTTGGGAGTTTGCTGGTTGGGACTAGGACTGGGGTTGGTTGAGTCTTGGTCTTCGGATTTGCTCTCTTCTGGTTTCTCTTCCGGCTCATTGCTTTCTACTTTTGGCTTTGATGATCCGCTCAGCATATCTGAGATGTTCTGAGGTGCTTGCGGGTACTTGTTGTACAGTGCTTCCTTGGAATCGTAGCATGTGGCGCATAGATTGCGGCATTTGTATTGCTTTGCCAAGGAACGAGCGAATGAGAAGTCACCTAGTGAGTGTTAGAGTGTATGCTTTTCTAGATATAATAGGTAAATCGGGGTTGAAGGATGTTGCATGTTCTCGTTTTTATACAAGAATGCATGTTGGTTCAATCTCGTATATATCAAAGTGGAAATACAGCTCCAGGCGTGAAATCCACGAGAAAAGATATGCATAGATATTGATCGCAACACAATTCTTGCATAAAGTGAAGAACGCAGAGCAAGTATGTCAATTAAAACAGAAGAAAAAGCTCACCTTCACCAATCAAGAGGATGCGATCCTTCCTCAAAAACGGCACGATAGGTCTCTGGTTTGCTTGGATAGAAGCTTTCTTAGGTGCATTGGCATTGCCATTACCCTGCTTTTGCCCATTGCCACGCTGCTGTCCCTTGGCAGGGTTAGAAGATGGGCCAGATGGTTTGCCTGGTCCGCGAGGACGTGGTGGAGGGGCACTCTTGGCTTTTTTATTGTTGCGAGGCATGGCTGAAGGGAAAAAGAAACGAGTTCTCTTTCAAAAAGTTGTATGAAATTGTATGAAATGAGTACGGAGCTATCACCGCTGGTGTCTGCGGCTGGAAGATGATGCGGAAGAAAATCGACCCGGATAATCCAATATCCGAAGTATATAACGTCCTCGTCTTCACTTCTCTTTATTCTACTTTTTCCAAGTTCCTCTCACTTGTTAGTTTGGGCTTGGATTTATCTCTTTTGGGATCGATTTGAAATGAAGTGTGGAGTAGAAAATAATCTGAGGTTCATGTGGAAACACTAGAAACGGAGTCGAAGATATCTAAGCAGAGACAGACTAAGGAGGGGCCATGCAGTAAGTTAAGTGCAGCAGCCTAACGTTGTATTTGACAAGGGTAGCCATGTACATCTTAAAGATCCTCTTGGTCCCGATCGAATACTCGCAAAGACAAGCAGAATTTCTTCCAGCGCTTAACCTCGCCATTGCCTCTACCAGTGCAAGCCCACTAAACGAGGGAAATGATATTGACCAGTACGCCCCGAATAGTCTATAATACCATACCGCTTGTACAAACAATCAAGCATAAGTGGGAAAGAACCAACCAAATGCAGTTTCCTGATCCCTGACCAACAATAAGCACATGTCCGGCACCATCGAGATTGCATGACCAGCACCACTTGAGACGCTCTCGCTGACTGGACATCGTGATCAGCCTGACTATCTTCTCTTCAGGAGGTCACCCAGTCTAACGTGGAAAAGGTATGCTTTGGATATGGGTAGCCCACAGTCCATTGCCGCTACATCATCCCCTTCGATTCTGGCTCTGGCTATCTGCTTAGTGTGTGATCCACACAATGATATCCTAGATATGAAGGGAGATTGTGTCTTACCGAGTATCTTTCGTGGTCGTAGGAAATGGTTCAAGATTCCTCGCAATCCACGCAATTCACGCAAAGGGACTTCGATTTCCTTTCCCTGTCTTCATAACTCGCGACAGAAGATTAAAACTACGCAACGACTCCCAGACCTGCAAGAGTTAACCGGAAGAATAAATCATATTAGTTATCGAAAGACACGTTCTATTAGAGAAAAGAACAGATCGCGGCATAGCTATATACATCGAAACAAAAACAGACAAGGATAGATGCTATAGCCGCATGTCAAAACAAGGGGAGAATTACTAAATCATACCGTAGACCAAAGGCAGTGTGGTCAGGAGAAACCGCCAAAAAAAAACACGAAGCAGTTTCCCTTCCATAAATGTAAGGCGAGGGGAGGAGAGAAATAACAGAAAAGAAGAGAAAGGAATCAAACACCAACACCGACCAAAGTGATCGCAGGATTTTCCCCATCAGACCAGACAAGACCCTTGAATTCGGCTGCAATGAAACGTGAATCATAATGTCACATGCAAAGGAGCACCGTGGATGCGGTTGACTTTTTGGATATGCACTGACCAGTCAGATGCATATTGTCATTCCAAGCCTCTAAGAGCGCAGCGAGTCTCTCATGCTCTGACTGCTGGCACTGACTGGCGTGGGAAGAACACCGGTGCGGGGCTTGGAGTTCTGCTTGATCTTGGCCACGGCGTAGACAATACCACTGATGAAGCCGACACCGATGGCGGAAACACTGGGGAAAGTGACTGGCGCATCGAAGAAGACGAGACCGGACACGGCAATGGGCAGCTTGTTGAGAGCGCCAACCATAGAGTATGTGGTGGAGGAGGTGGTGCGGACACACCATGCGGATGTGTACGAGATGAAGACAGAGGAGGCACCAGACAGAACCATGGCGAAGAAGATACCGTCACGGTTGGCCTCGGGGAAGTTGCGGGCGAGGTTGGCGGATGACCAGTCCTCGACCAGCAGGGTGAGAACAATCAAAACGGGGATCGACAGGAGGTTGTTGTAGAACATGGCTAGAGAGAAGGTCATGTTAGTAAACACATTTGAAACAAGGCTGGAAAGAACCACATACTGTCAAAATCCTTGAAGTTGGTCAGCTTGATGCGCTTGCGCATGCCCAGGACATAGGACGAGGTGCATAGGCAGTTGATCAACATCCAGACATATCCAGCGTTCAAGGTGGAGACCTTGCTGGAGGTATCACCGGTGCTCTCCACAGCATGCTTGATATCAGCCCAGGCAGCAATGAGCGAGCTGAAAACCATGAGACCGAAAGAGAACAGGGTGAGGTTAGTGACGGAGCCACCGAACCAGAGAACCTCTCCATAGGCGATCAGGATAATGGTCAAGTTCTTGAAGATAGTATAGACGGGGATTGAAAGGAACTGGAGAGCCTTGGAACCCGTGTAGATCATGCCGATCAGTAGGAGCGTAATCGGGAACCCTGATATGGAATCCTGTCAGCTCTGGCGCATCTCTCGGTTTGTGGTAATCGGAATACATACACTTTCTGGCCTCATCGGTGTTGAAATCACGGTAGGTGATAAGACCCATGGACTTGCACGTTTGAATTGCAGCAATGCAAACCAAAGACTGACGATGTTAGCAATTCGCCATGGATCAAGAACTGAAAAAGCCACCACATACCTGGATACAGAGCAAGAGGAAGTTCAGATTGAAATCCAACCCCGACAGAACATACTTGTTCATCACGGTCATCATAATTGACGAACCGCAGTATGCCAGAACGGGAAGAGCGGGGTTGTTGGAAATGGTCGGACTGGCGCGGGGCGAGGGAGTCGGCGGCGGCGCAGCCTCAAACTCCTTATTCCCTTGGTCGAGCTTGTTCATTTCGACGGTGTAGTCGTCGGATCTCTTGTCTTCGGCCATGTTGAGTGAGTGGTCGCGGATAGGGGTGCTATCGGCTGTTTTGTTGAAAGGGGGGAGGAACTGAAATGACAGATGGCACCCAGAATATATCCAGGGGAGTCAAGGAACAAGAGAAGGTTGTTCGAGAAGGTGACCAAGTAAAAAAAAGGCCAAAGGAGATTTGACAACAACAGATTTCGCGGCCGGAAACAGGCACGTTGTTACCTAAGCAGAGCAGTTAGGGGGTGCTGAGTCAGGATTTTATTTATAGAGTGAAACATCGTACTATTGGAGTACTCCGTACAATCTAGTTATAGAGTATATATTAGTAGTCAATTGATATAATATACTGTTGGTTATAGCATGAAAATACTCAATTAAGTCGATCGATGACAATAATATATAACTATGTACCTGGTAGTCGTACGTTTGTACTTATATAGTATGACTATATGCATAGCGAAAATCATTCGAAGGTTCTATGAGGCTAAAGAATATGCAAACCAAAAGAACAAGAAATAAAGAAATACAGACATCATTCCAATTGCAGACTGTAAAAAAAACCAGAAAATAGATTTATAAAGCTGTTCACGCGTAGACTACTCCGTACCGAGTCCAGTCCATATACCAGTGGAGCTCCCGACTTTCCAACCTCAACCCTCCTAACCACACACTCCCCCGAAAATCCCAATCCACACCTTTACATTGGGAAATAAGGGCCCAAAAGCAAATCCAAAGGGAACAACTCATTTCAATCCCACCAAAAAAAAAACAAAAACAACCCAACCTCAAACCCACAAACCACCCCCGCACCTTCCCCCCAAAATGCCCGACTCAGACGACGAAGCCCTCTTCGCCGCCCTCGAAAACGAGGATGACACACTCTACCGCGACCAGCGCATCCACCAACTAAACGCCGAGCTCGCAGCCACAAAAAACAATCACTCCGCACGCGCAACAAGCGGAACCACAGGCCTACTCCAAAACGAAGTCTACCCTACACTCTCGTCAGACCAGTCCGTGTTGGACTTCACGACGCGCACAAGTAGATGTCTGGTGCACTTCGCGCACCCTGATTTTGCGCGGTGCGCGGTTATGGATATGAGACTTGGAGAGCTGGCGAATGTGCACTACGAGGTTTCGTTTGCGCGGGTGGATGTGCGTAATACGCCGTTTATTGCGCAGAAACTTGGGATTAAGGTTTTGCCTTGTGTGATCGGGTTTAAGGATGGGGTTGGGCTTGATCGGGTTGTTGGGTTTGAGGGGCTTGATGCCAGGGGCTTTGATGGGGTTGAAGGGTTTGATGTCAGAGTTTTGGAGAAGAGGTTAGTGTTCAAGGGGATTCTTTTGGCAGCGAAGATTGGGGGTGGAGACGAGGATGATGATGTGAGGGAGGAGGAGGATAGTGATGACGGTGCTGGTGGGAGAGGATTTGGGAGGAAGAAACGTGGGATTCGGGATTCTAATCCCAATGTGAGAAACCGTGGTGACGATGACGATGGTGATTGGGATTAAGAACCCTTGTTCCTTTTGAAGTTTATACCCGTGGGGAAAGGGTATTGGGATGTTGATTCATGATTTCTGTATATTAACGGATTGATGACCCTATATTGATGTTCATAGTTGGATATTTAGTAGCATACCCATGCCATTATATTTATACAAGCTCTAAACTAGCCATAGCCACTGGAGTACCTTGGAGGCCTCCACTAGGATTATGTGTATGCTCCGGGAACAAGGGTTGTGCAACTTGAGATTGAAGACGGAAGAATCAAAAGTAAATGGGATTGTAGCCAGACACGAAAGAACAAAGCAGACTGTCATTATAGAATTACAGGCAAGAAACATCAAAGACCGTAAACACAGCCATCTCGACGGCAAAGGAAAACCAAAACGAAAAGGAAAAAGCAGAAGCAGAGCAAAACAGCACCCTAGAGTTACAACAAATGCCGCGAAACTGAGGCTAGAAGAAGAACAGGGGGGAATTCTATACATAAAAGCAGAAGTAGAAACAGAAGCAGAAGCAGAACGTTGTCGCACATCCATAATTTCCACATTGACGCCGGATGCCCTTGAAAAACCGAGACTCGAGAGAAAACAGCACTGTCCGGACTCAAATAGCAAGACGTATTCTAAATAGCCACGTTCTTCATTTCGCCGAGGACCTCCGACTCAATGGCGGCTGGGGACTCCGCAGAGTCGATCTTCTCGCTTTTCTCGATTTTCTCAATTTTCTCCGCCTTGTCGGATTCCTTCTGCTCATTGGGCTTGGGGAACCCTTCATTCTCTTTATTGGAGATTTGTGGGGTTACAACCTCCATGAGATCTTCAGCATGAGCCTCCTTGTCGTTTACCTGAGCGTCCTCGGAGATTGTGGGCCCTACAGTGACAGCGGGACTTGTTGTCTCCTCAGTCACGCGTGCAAGAGGACTGGACACGCCAAATGGCGTCTTGGGACTCTGAGCATTTCCACTCTTGGAGAAACGGTGCGGCGACCGGCCCCGTTCTTCAGTGCGCGTGGGGCTGCCGTAGGGGGACTCACGACTACTGGACCGGTTGCCTGAAGCGTTCACACCCAGCCCATTGGGCACAGGGCCCTTCCGGCGAGGTGCACGGCGGCCATACTTCTGATCCGTCCTCCACCGCAGGATATCCAGGTATGGGGGCTCCACATTTTGGTTCTTGAATGGTTTCAGCTTCAGCTCATCCGTCTGCTCGTCAACAATGACGTGGCCGCTGCATAGATCATCGGCGAGAGTCGCGAGGAATCCAGCCCACGACCGAGCAACGACGTATTTGCAGTCGTAATCCCGGCCGAAAATAATCACCTGGCCCCATTTTCCAGCAGGGCCAGGTGCCAGATCAATGGCCAGGTTGTTGCCGCCCCAATCACGGGCGAGGGGAATCCAAGCGGGGTTTGCGTAAGATTTCTGAACCGCACCGGGAGGCTGGGAGTCCTGACGCTCGAGCAGGTCTGCTTGCCACATTGTGGACGAGGGCTGCTGAGACGGACCGGCCGCGGAGGAGCTTGCCGCAGAGCTAGGTGCGGGTGGGTTTTGCATCGTAGTTGCGTTGCTGAGATATTCGTCGTTGACCTTTTTCCAGTTCCGCCATTCCTGAACGATCTCCTCGCAGTCGAGCAGCATGGCGCTGAAGATAACACCGGTGGGTTGACCGCCACGTTCTTGGCCGTCATGGACCATTAACGATTCCCGCACCTCTAGTGGCAGACTGCAGTCGAGCTCATGCTCCAATTCATTGATGTCGTTCTGGGTACAGCCTTCACCGAGCTGGTCAAGGAGTTCCTCATAATTGCTTTCTAACCAGCGTTCGATCTTCCTCCAGGAGTGAGCGACCGGCGGCGGCGGCGGCGCTCCATCGTGGAAACTTTGCATCTGAATTTCTGGCGCACCCTCGCCCTGTTCATTCGATCGCCTTTTCTGAGATGCGACCGACCTCATCCCTGGTGAGTAGGGTTGGGTGGGAGAACCCAAGTCGTCGGGGGAGGTATTCCACTCGGATGCTTGTGCAGTTGCAGATCCTTTTGTAGGCTCGTCATCGTAGGGGTTAGAGAGGTCCGGGCGGGACTCAATTGCGCTGGTTGCGATGGATGTGAGGGGTTCGTGACGACTTTGACTGAGAGGAACGTGTCTCCCGGTACGGTAGGGGGAGTCGTGGGAGGCATGACGGTCATAGGAGGTCATGGTATGCCAAAAGGAACGCCATGTCGAACTCAACCTGCATCACGTCAGTGGACATGAACCTTGCCTTGGTATTCATATCTAGACATCCAGAGATAAACTAACATATTCGCCATGGTGTCACAGTAGAGAAGGGAAAAAAACGGGCGCAGGGGGGTTAAAACCGAAGTTCAGGTCGCAAAATCAGTCATTGGAGACGGGGGAAACGTGTCCCGACGCGGGAATAATTAAAACGAGAGGATTCAAAATTTAGAGGAGGAAAAGAAGATGTTGAAAATGTTGAAGATGTGAAGATGTGAGGATGTGGTAGGGGCAACCTGGGAAGTCCAGAACCCAGAATTAGGTAAGGAAGGAGAAAAGGTGGAGGGGAGAGAACGAGGAGGGTATTGGTCTTTTAATTTCCTTGGAAACACAAGGCTTTTAAAAAAGGCTTAGAATAATATAAATAGGATCTTTCTTTTAAAATCTAGAAACTGTGAGGATTATTTACTTCAATTGTTATGATATGACTCTATCTCATCCACCCTTTTCCGCACCCAGCGAGGCTTCGACGTGTTGTGGTATGTAGATCCCTTTGATATGATGTCGACAACTCATATCATAAAAGCTTTTGAATGTGGAAATGGGGTATTCCTGCCAAGGTGTGTTTTATTGTACTGCGTCTAGTCAATACATATTTTCCAGGCTACATACAACATACAATTACACGTGTATCTGAATGCCATTGTCCAAACCCTTGCGGCAAAAGCAGTTCAAATTAAGCTTCCTCGGAAGATCTGTGAAATGGAAGACCCCAGCTCCCGATAACTACCTAGGTAACTAACTAGTTAGTTAGTTATGTGGCAAGGTAACTAGCTATTTACGGAGTGGGTAAAAGAAGTATATAGAAATAGGAACACGGAATCGGACATCCTGGAGTGCCGAGTTCGAGTTCTCTTTACTCCGTACTTCCCCACCTAACAATCTATGTACGGCGTACGGAGTACGGCGAAATTGATAGAAAATTAGCGCCAGGTGAGTGGATCTCAGGAAAAGGACTGTGGCTGGCGAATAGGAGTCAGTAGGGTTAACAATAGGGGGAGAAGTCCACGTCCCAACAAAAATAGGAAATAGTAATATGCGATGTATGGAGACAATATAGGATATTTAACATACTCCGTCCATATTAGTTAAGCCTGCGAATTAAACTGTTCAGTGATTCCACGATGTAGATCCTTATTATTGAAAAACTCTTTATATTCCAAGTCTAAATTATACATGGAAAAACCTCGGGATATTAGGATCAGCATTGGGCTCTTATAGGCTTGACTCCACTTTGGAATAAGGAAACCTTCCAAATTTTGATTCGTTTCAACGGTGTGTGGCTAGTTCAGGGCTTGGTGCGGTATACGTTCAGGAACTAGGTGGTCCCAAAATAATTCCTTGAGATAACGTTAAGCCCAGTATAGACTAGCGTGATTGGGGTTATCAAAAGACTGATTTCGATCCATCCTGTAACTGCATCCTCAGAACGGACCTTATTCCGACGTATTTCGGTCTCTCGTTCCTATCACAAACTATGTCCACTTTGGAACTGTAGCGCGCGGGTCTAGCATCTATATTGTAGACTCACTAGCTATAAATCTATCAAGCCTGCTAGCTGTGGTCATTGACCACTGTGTATACCTCTTAATAGCCCACAAATGGGTCCAAGCCCCCGGCCCACAGCCCATTAATGGGGGCCCATCAAAGCTCATCAAAGGCCCATTTCTATGCACAAATATAGTCTTAGCATATTTAAAGTAGTATTGGCATGGATGAAGATATATATATTGGGTCTATACCTAGATATCAATTGCAGTAGTACTAATAGTACTTCTACTTACTAACTAGTTAGTTATAGTTATAATTCCCTAACAAACATAAGTAACCCCTTCTAAAAAGTAAAGCTTTATTTATGAAAGTCAACTCTATACCTTCTAAACGACCTTTCTCTCCTTTATGCTTCGAAGGTTTCTATATAGCTTTATATATCGCTTAGATGGTAGTTTGAATACCCAAAAAAAAAAAAAACCAGAAAAAAAATGCACGAATTATGCAGCTACGATAAATTGGCATGTTTGTGGTTGGGCTATGGGCTTTGTGGGGTAGGGAGGTCTAGCCATATATCAATCAATATTATTTGAACCCCAGGAGTTACATCCTTATCATTTCCATACTGCGCTTCTTTATAATGTTGAGAACCAAAGAACGACGCCACGCACAGAGTTGTCTACTTTTAAGACGTGCCAATACGGTATAGGTAACATCGGCTGTAGTTTTTGGGAACCATATTAGAACCGGGAGATCGGTATCTGGCGTGCTGTCATTCAATCAGGAGAAGTCGTTGTTCAAAATGAATCGGGCATAAATGGCCCATCGAATGGATTCGGAAGTATCTTGAGTCAACCACCATTTGGCGAAGAAAGGGTCGTGGTAGATTCCTCGAACAACACAAGATAGCTCGCTGGTCCATGATTCGTCGACGTGACCACGCTGCCATCAGGATCAATAGGTCCTTATTAACAGTGGACAGATCAGCGGGCTGTGGTTCGCATAATAACCGGACAGCTTCTGGATCAACCGGTCGCGCCCCGGTTAATGTGCCTTCGGCGTCAAGACACCAGCCTTCGGTAATATTAAACATAGGTTGCGGCACAACAGGAAAGATACAACCCCCTCCGGCAGGGTTTGGTCGAGCATAGACAGAACACACGTGTCTCCGTTCAAATAGGCTTCAAAACGTAAGGGTGAGCATAGGCAGCGGTTGTAGTCATCCAGATAGTTTCAACTGGTCGGGCTTGATGTCCATGACATTAGGGGTGAAAAAAGGAATATATAAAATAGTTGTACGGATGAGCTCGGGCTTACTTAATGGCCCGATACCTCATTTTTGACGATAGTATACCAAAGCCCAGTATTAGTACTATGATAGTGAGTGGGAAACAAGCGAATACGATGTTCAAATCCTGATGGTATAAAGAGTACTATAATTGGATAATGGTCGCACGACCTCCTTCCTAGTTGATGCTGACAGACTATATAAGCCTCACTGAATTAGGTATAGCGTGGGGAAGATGCCAAGATAAGTAAGCACCTGGGCAGGAGGGACATCCCCAAAACTGAGAACCTTGGAATCATCCATGTTGTATGGATTATTTCCTACAGCTAAATACTATCAATATCAAACTCAGCGTCTTACGTCCTGTCCTCAAATACCAGGAGATATGTGAAGTCCACTTGTGCGAATTTGAGTATATCCGCCGAATTCGAATTGCGTTTAAAAGGCATTGGGGGCCAAAGGATCTGAGTAATGAACAGCCCCCTCCTCGGTTGTACATTAGCGTCAGCGCAGGTGGAGAACGGTAGAGACACCAAATCCTTAAAATCAGAGTAATTCGCGGCTCTTTTCTTTCCATCCCATCTTTTATATCGTCCTGGCTTGCAGCATTCAAAACATAAATCACAATGGATCCCACTCTCAACGGCCTGCCCTGGCCTACCAAGCACCTTCACACGACCACTAGAAACGGATCAACATGGGGCTATGTCATTTATCGCACCACATATACTCCCCATTCCAACGCCGTGTTCCTCCGAATTATCGATCTTCTCAACTCCTACATGAAACATGGATTATACTCTGAATGCGTCTTCTCCGGAAACAATACCCCAATCAATACAGATCTCACTTCATACCATGAGATCTGGGCTCAGCACCGTTCAATCGTTATGAACCATCCGAAATTTGAAGGAGCGTCGATGGACTCCATTCGCACTCATTTCCGACGCTGGGTCGATGTGCAGGAGGATCAAGGTCTATCTACTCAATATCACATGTGTATGGTGATCGACGAAGAGGCTTTACAGACTTTGTTGGATGCTCCGTCACCCCAAGAGTGCTCAGCTGAAAAGGTCATTGATCCAATGCGATATGTGAAAGTTATACCACTGGTTCCGGATAGCGACGATGAGTTTGATGGTTTTATGGGTGGATAGGGAGCTTTTCATACCGTCGAAGATGGCAACTATGGTGACAAAGGGCCATTTGGTTATCTATCGAGGGCTGTTACATATGCGGAGTCATCACTCCTAAGTTGGAACTATAACCCGACGCCCAACAATGCCCAACAATGCGTATGAACGAGCCCTCTGCTTTCTGTCTTTTTTTTTTTTTTTTTTGCAGTTGATTAAGCGATACGCAAGCTGTGCCTACTCCCAAGGCTACTTTCAACATTTTGGATTCCTGCGTTCTTCTTGCTTTTTGCACTGAAGTGTTGTCTATGACTTCACATCTTATATCGTTTACTGCCCAATGCTTCTTCCACTCGACTTCCGGAGGCTGTGTTCTGTTTTTCCTTTCAATTGGCAATTGTTCCACTCGTGATGGTATATTATCTGTTAAATCACCTGGCACGATGAAGACTTCGTGATATCCCGGGTCTCACTTGGTTTCTGTTCCAATGTCGCCAGGGATGTCGAACATTAGGTATATAGTCGACCATGTCACAATAAACATGGAGAAATGGTACGCATAGCACCAAGACAAATTACAATCACAGACGGAAATGCAAACAAAGTAGTTCATGGGCATGGAAACATCATGAAGCCCTGTGTTGATTCTTGATTAGTTTACATTTGTTGGTATCTAAATGTTTATGACGCTCTGCTGAATGGCCACTAAGATATCTTTCCTATCTCGAGGACAAGAAAGCTTATGCCTATGATGCGCCTAGGTATCTTTTGTATGGGGAAGTCATACAAAGATACTAATTTCTAGATTTGGGTTTGCTAGGACGTTTGTCTGTTAGGATGCACCGTGGTGGGTCGCTATATGCATAAACTTATTTATGCATATAACCAACTAGATTTAAGGTATCGAATCTCCAAGTACAACATAGGCACCAGATCTACTCGGCTACCATGTACACTACTTGCACTTCACAACGAACCAAAATCTGACCAGTGATGATTATCGGATTGGGACCGGGCGCAAAAGCACACCGATGTGGACTAGCCAGAGCTTTAGACAATTTCAATCCTCATGAAACGAGTGAGGAGGATAGATCAAGGCCGAAGTGCGAGATCAGCGCTAGGTCAGCCTTGAAGGGCTGATCGAGGCTGACCGCTACTTCGACCAAACAAAGAAACAGCTAGTTGAAAACAGCGAGAAGGTCCAAAGCAGCAAAAAGAAACAATGCAGAAAAGCAAAAGCAGAAAAACAGCAAAATCATGCATTTGTTAGCATCCCTCCATGCCTCAAGCCAAAACCAGGCGCGCCATCACATTTGGGAAAAACCACGACGCCAAACAATGGAGAAAAGGTATGAAACTACCACCTCATCAATTTACCAAGCAGCCAGTGCCGTGCATCATCATCATGGTGAACATTGCCGCAAGAGACGTATGGAAAGAAACAATGAGCATCCTGTCGCGGGAAAGGAATACTAGAATAAACCAACCGAGGGACCCGAGACCAGTCGAGGATGCCTAGTATGAACATGATGCAAAGGAGAAACATAGTGAAATCAAACTGAATTTAAGAGATATGAAAAACATAACTGAGAGAAGAAAACAAAAGAAAGAGGCCATTCAGCAGAAAGATAGAAGAGTAAAGACCGTAGAAGAAAATCATAATCTGACAAAAGACATGTGGGAGCCATGAAGAGCTATGCGAAGCTCTGAGTGACCGGAGGTCCCGAGGTATCCAGCTTCAAAACCCGCCGGATATCATTCTCAATTTGTTGAGTGTCCACGACCCGAGAAGGTGATGGCGAGTTGAGAGGCAACTGGAATGAAGCCGACGAATGGCTTTGTTGCGGGGAAGCATAGCCAGACCGGTGGCGCTGGGATGTTGCCATGTAAGGATTGCCATACGGCGCCGGGGAACCTCCGTTGGAAGTGCTGTTCGAGGCTGGGCCACGATACTGAGGCATCGAAGGAGGCGGCACGAGGTCAACTTCACGGCGCAGAGGTGAGTGAGAATGGGCGGGGTATTGGTATTGGGGGCGTCCGCTGTTCTGAGGAAGCTGCTGCTGCAGCTGGTGGGGAGAGAATGAGCTATGCGACATGGTCAACTGAGGACCAGACGAGGTTCGCATAGGAGTTGCATAGGGGGGGCACATTGGAAGGACGGGGCCCAAAGGATCCGGCGTAGTCGGGGGAGGCGTAAGCTGAGGAAGGCGGCTTCTGTGGAGGTGGGTTGAGTAACAGGTGCTTTAACTCCTCAGTCTTGATCCGTCGCTCCTCCTCAGACATGTCAGAGGACTGAGGGGTACCCGAGGGTCGCAGCGCATTCATACGGTCCTGGTAGGAAGGAGCGAAAGAAGGGCCAATGTGAGGGTTGCGATTGTAATCAGAGTTTCCCATTTCAAATGGGAACACGCCATCAGGATTGGGGCGCACGGCCCGGGGTTCGGTCTGAGGAGACTGAATGACCTTGTTCACCTCAGGGCTGCTCGTGGATTTCTGGTCTCTGGCTTGCACAGCAGCCTTGAAAAGGAAGTCAAGAGGGGAAGGCTTCTGCTCTTCACTCTTAAATTGGTTGTTGCGATTGCGAGGTTTGGACGGAGTCACCTCTGGTTCGGGGTCCACTTCCGCATCGTCACTATCGGTCTCGATGGGTGGGACCAAATTGGCATCAGGAGCCGACTTGGAGAAGAAGCTCGGAATGGGTAAAGCAGATGGCGCAGGCGATGCATGGAACGTCGGTCCCGCGTAGGCTGCGCTCTTTGTCTGGGGAGAGGTGACAGAGGGGTGAGTTGGTGTGTGTCGGGGACCGCTATTGTAGCCATTGCTGTGGTACCCAGAGTGCGGGGCAGGTGAAGCCTTACTGTCTCTGGACTTCTTCCCTGAACGCATAGGCTTCTTCTTTGAAGAGCTGAAGTTGGTTGAGGGATCCATCGGGATGACACCGGGGCTCATGCTATGCGGCGGGGATGATGGAGGAGTAGAGAGAAGCGCCGATTTCTGGGCGTGAGGAGTCGTATTCTTCTTCTGAGGGCGGCGGTTGTTGCGCGAAGCCTTAGGGGTGGGGGGATGAGGAGATTGAGCCGACATGTCGACGGTTGGCTTGAAAAATAGGCAGCCTGTGGAGAGAGGTAAAGAGAAAAGGCAAGCAACGCTATGACGAAGCAGTAAAGGCAGAAGATGCGGAGATTTGTAGTAAAATGAGTCAGATCACTGCTCAGCAGGTGTCGACAATATTAGATATGACAACGCCGGGGAAACAGAGAAAGTGACGTGTATCAAACGGAGGGAGTGAAAGCGTCGCAAGTTGAGTCAATCAGATGTCGCTCCCAAGACAAACATAGACAGTCTATTGAAAGAACTTGTCTATCAAATGAAGAGCGTAACAAAAAAGTCAAAAAAGAAGATCAACTGGAAGCATCTCTAAAGAGGAAGAAAAGAAGAGAAGAAAAGAAAGATTGAATCATTATTGTTTGTTGAAGGGAAAGACCATCGAATGCAGACAAACGGAGAGGGGACCCCGATCTCATCTCGATGACTAAGGACGCCACCTGCTTCACGATATCAAGAACAAACACAAGTCAAACAGAACTATCAACTGCTGGACAGGGTCACATTGTTTTATTGTGCATTGAGTACCTTTGGAGAGATCTCTTGTTTTAATTCCCCCAAAGAAGGTACTTCGTTCGTTCTATCTTGACTCTCATACATTCATACAACCACAATCACCGCCCTCCATCACCGCCCCAGCCTAAGCATCGGAGCCTCACTTACGTCAGTCACAGTTCTAATCCCCCCACCACAGCTAGCTTCTGTTGTCTCGCGCCAAGAATTTCAATCTGAGACCATCCAAATCCCGACAAGAACCTCAATATGGCAGACGTGGAGATGAAGGAAGCCGCTACTAGCTCTTCCAAGGGCAAGGCCGTTGCCAAGGGCTCCGACAATGCCGACAAGAAGAAGTTCGAGGTCAAAAAGGTACACAAAGACCTACTGTTCGCAGCAACTCATAATACTGACTGGTTATTCTCAAGTGGAATGCTGTTGCCCTATGGGCTTGGGATATCGTCGTCGATAACTGTGCCATTTGCCGAAACCACATCATGGACTTGTGTACGCTGAAACTATCCCCCCACAAGCTCTCTTATCTTCCAAGCTGACCGACCGACAAAACAGGCATCGAATGCCAGGCCAACCAAGGATCATCAACAACGGAAGAGTGCACTGTTGCCTGGGGTATCTGCAACGTGAGGACCCCCGCATCCCTCCGTCTGACCGTATGATCATCGGCTAATCCCTCCCTTTCTATAGCATGCATTCCACTTCCACTGCATATCGAGGTGGCTAAAGACCCGTCAAGTCTGCCCGCTAGACAACCGAGACTGGGAGTTCCAGAAGTACGGCCGGTAAAGAGGGGGCCACCAGGGGGTTCGAAGACATTACACGATACAAATTCACGATTTTTGGCTGATGCCGCATGCTCAATGGCTATAACTTGATTTTTTTCCCCCAGGAGACGCTTCTGGATCTTTACGATGGCTTAGGGGTTAGGCGTTCGAACGATTGACATCTCGAGCCAGCTTCATAGTTTCCCATTCCCATATTCCGTAGCAGATGAGAGCACTGCCCAAATGTTTCCATGATTATTACGCTTGACAGTTTTTCCAACGATAGCTTATTGCACCTTCACCCCGTCCACAGTTATACCCGGAGTTGCTCTCGCGCTTGGTGAGCCCAACCACTTCTCTGGGTTGCGGTTGTATACCGGCCAGGGCGGGACAACGACGAAAGCTGTAAACAGTGTGCCCGCCAAACCGGTCCATAACGTAAGGTGGATGTCCTTGTAGATGTATCCGACAACGAAACTGGCGACCTAGAGCAGATAATCATTAGCTGTGGTAATGCAAGCCTCAATATTCATGCAGCATACCCCTGAAATAACCAGCAAGATGGTCGACAGTAGCTCTGCTAGGTGTTGGCCGTGGAAGTCCTGTTATCGAGATATTGTTAGCTTGGATCGCCCGCGTGGAGCAATAATAATGAATGAAGACGAGGCAGCGGGGCGTACAATTTGGCCTTCAATGGCATCCTGAATAGGGGCGAGTAATTCATCCATGATTCAAGCAATTTAATCAGATTCGAGGTCGACAGTCCAGGTTCCAGGGTCCCTTGATCGATGCCGGGCGGCTTATCGCAATGGTGTCATTTGCCTTCTGCCACGTCGGACCGCCTTGCTCTTTACATTGTACACTGCACTTCGTCGAAGTACAACATATACGTACGAAGCACGGAGTACAATCTTACAAGATAATTTTGATTCCAAATGGGTTGTTCTTTGAGAAGCGATATTGAACTTTGATTGTTACGTGGTTGATCATGATTTCATTCGATGTCATCTGCCATCTATCTCTAGAACCAAAAGCAGACAGTCCACCCAAGTTGGAGTACTGCTGACAGGAAACCGGCATTGAGAAACTTGGTCGGAGATCGTGTACCAGTGTACAAGACCCTGCAAATCCAAACGTAACCCGAACCCAACTGCCGTGTTGGAAGGCTTACATGTACCCTGCAATGCGAGAAGCAAGGAGCGGTGAAAAACGAGATCTTGCATTACCCATGTGGCGGTTAGGGGAAGAAATCTTCCCATATCCAACCAGATACGAGTTCCCCTCGGGTTCCAATGCTCCAATGCTGCGTGCTTGTATCTCAAGCACGGCGAACCGCTGACTCGCAGACAGCCATTGTGTTATGGCGACAGAAAAAGGCACCAGCCTTTAATTATAGGTGGCAGTTGCGCCATCATGAGCAGGCTCCAGCAGCTTCCATTGGCACGAGATATCATTGGAAGCGAACTGTGCGATAATGCGGTCAGCAATCTCGGTGAAGCGATCCGTGGCCAGTGCCAGGATAGTAGGCCCGGCACCAGACAAACAGATTCCTAGCAGACCGGGTTGGGTAGCGGGGGTCATGAATTGGAGAATCTCGGTCAAGCCTGGGATCAGCGTCTTGCGATACGGCTGGTGCACCTTATCCTGCATGGCGAGGAAGATCATATCAGGATCCGGTGGGGAGCTTCCCAAGGCCGCGGGGAGGAGTGCAGCGCGCTGGAGATTGAAGACCTAGCTGGAGATTAGTCTGGAATCAGATAGTTGATCAATTTTGAACATTCACATACCACGTCCGCTCGAGAGTAGGTCTCCGGGAGTACATTACGGGCGTTGGCAGTAGGAACCACGAAGTCAGGGATAATGGCAATGGCCTTGATCTCAGGAGCCCAGTTGAACTTCCTGTAATGACCAATGGCCATGGGTGGTGCGGGGGGTCTGATACCGGTGTCCACACCACCTGCCGGGGCAGGCAGGACTTCACTGAGAGGGATCTCTTTGCGTGCCACATCTTCGGGCTTAAGCTCGTTCAGATAGGTACCCACGAACCCACCGAAGAGCGAAGCAGCCACGTTATCTGGGTGCCGCTCTGTTCGTATGCGTTAGTAAGATGTACGACATACGATTCATAGATTTTTTTTTCCCCGGGGAGACTCAGATGAGGGGCACATAAAAACACTCCAACCTACCAATCATCAAACAATAATCGAGTAACCGTTCCTTGCTCAGACCCAGCTTACCCACCTCATTGCCCAGCATGACACCGGCGACGACGGCGGTACCAGAGGAGCCCAGACCCCGGCCTAACGGGATAGGGTTGACGATATGCACGTTGGTCTCGACGGGGAAGGCCCGCTGGTCATGGCATCTGAGGACATACAGGGCTACACGGGTAATCAAATTGACTTCTGGGTCAAGACTGATCTGCTCAACACTCTTGCTTTTGTCCTCATAGGTGATGGCGCAGTTGAAAGGAAGCTGGGATGAGGGTTTGGCCTCGACGGTGACGTGGAGATCCAAGTGAAGGGACAGTGCCAGACCGATCACATCGAATCCGGGACCAATGTTGGCAGAGGAACAAGGGATCTTGATCACAAAGGAAGACATGATATCGGTGACTATATCAAGTGTGTTTACCAGGGTCCAAACACACAAAACACACAAAATGTACAAGATCGTCTGATAGTCCGGTATGTGACTCTGCAACTCTTGGCGCACCAAAAAAATTGGCCGACGTCGGAAACATTTTTAAGTGGGGACTCTTTTTCTTTAATCAACTTGGATTTCTATTCTTTTGGATTTAGATTTGTGTTTTAACTAGTTAACGTTTAACATGGATGTCAGATCCGATTGTACATATGTATCTATATTGTATGTTGTATATTATCGGTGTGTTTCTTGACTTCATTGATGTTCCACATATAAAAGGCGTAACATAAGAAACATACAAGACAATAAGAAAAAAGGGGGTATTTTTACCGAGATAAATTGCTCTAGACTGATCTTATTGTGTCAGCTAAACCTGAAAATATACCTAAGGCGACAAAGATCGAAAGGCTAATATAATATGTATTAATATAGAATGGCTATATATGACCGGGATGATGTACAACATAAGTATGTTGTAGTCAAAGCAATACATTTTGTATTACTCTGTAGAGTAGTCTATAATAATAGGCTATTTTTATTGTCTTACTCGTTCTTACTCGTATATATTATATTGCGCGTTAGTACGGAGTAGACCCTTTTTAGTCCTTTTTAATCCTTTTTAGTCCTTTATCTACTGAAACGGGGGCCCGCTTGCAAATTTTTTTCAACTTTGTCTCTCTCCCTTTTTCTTCGGGCATATTAGTTCTAGTCCCCCCACTGTTTCTCTTAATTTTCTCCCTATAATCGCAGCCCCTGAGGTGCTTTATATTAAATATCCCCCTAAACTATTTTTTTTTTTTTTTTTTTTTTTTTTTAATATCCCGTGGTGACTCTTGTGGGCTTTCGGGACCACCTCGGCATCATCGACATCTTTGCCACTTCATTTTCCTTCCCGCTTTTCCCACTAAATTCAACCTCACACCCTTTTTGTGACAATTTTCAAAAACTACAATTCTCATTTCATCTCTGGTGAAAACTCAAGAATTCGAATTCAAAATCGAAATCGAAATCGTTAATTGTTGAACTCACTGCGAACTTTTCGCGCATCCCGTCTAACAGCAATTCTGGAGCCACCAAGCTTCTCATCCTCCCACTTCTTCAAGTTGGCGGGACTTCGCTACTCCAAGGCCTCTCTCCTCCACCCTCTTGCAGGCCCTAAGTTCCGGGTCTTCGGCGGGGGCGACACCAGACCCCCCTAACTGGGTTTCAAGAAAGACCTTATTGTGGCCGCCAGACGTTAGTCGGTAACGCCAGACCCTCGTGAAGGGTCTGGCTTATGGATGGAGGGCCGTCACCCTTGAACGAACCTCTTACCGGCTTGCGTCTGCTCCGGCCGTCGTGCTATCAAAGAGCAACTCTTAACTAAACCGAACTTGCCGCAAAAATCTGCCAATCTGGCGCCTTAAATCGTTTTCGTCGAATCCTCTTATACAGAGAGCTCACCATGTCGGAGTCTCCCAGATCCGAGAGGTACATGTACCTGACCCGGTACAGTACCCCGGTACCCGAACTGGATGATCACCGCCTCCAGATGCAGACGCCTCCACGAATTGAGGCCCCGGTCGAGCGTTCTTATAGCCCGCGCGATACCGCTCAAGGTCCTGAAATGATCGATCGTCCAGACTTGCTCAGTCCGCAAGATGCCCGAAGGGACGGTCCAATTCCCCGAGACTTCGAAAATGCCGCGGAAGACGACCGTTCGCTGAATGAGTTGAATGGACTCGGTCGACGATTCTCAATCGACCATAACGGCACTTACCAGACCCCTCGTCGCATCAGCGTTGTGAACCCGGATCTCGCCAACGCTTCCTGCGCCTCGTCTGTATCCGCTCGATCATCCTCTCCTCCCAATTCAGTCGAAGCTTTTGCCGACCCGCGTCGCCGTGAGCGCGCCAATACCTTGGACAGCCATGCGCCTCCCGACCTAGAAGCTATCCTGCAACGCACCGTTTCCGGTGGCACCCACAACCGGCGTCCGACTTTTAGCAACGCTAGTGTCATTCGCCCTCAATTGGGTGATGTGCCTTTCGACACGGCAGAGGAGGCTTGCTTCGACGAGCCAGGCCGTATTCCCGTCATTGATTACGAGGAACTTGAAGAGTTCGTGGCTCTGAATCCGAGCACCAAAGTCAGCGATGGCGATCGCCGCAAGCACAGCATGAGCTCACAGAGCAAGAGGCCCCGCATCTTCTACGACCTCCGCCCTGGCGCTGAGAGCCCTGAGATGGGTGTAATTAAAAAGACCAGCTCGTCGGATACACTGAATGAAGGTGAAAAGAAGAAGGCTGAGGTTATAAATGAAAAGGAGCGGGTTAAACCTCTCCAGAATACAACCCAACGCTCCCGCTTCGGGTTCTTTTCGTCCGAGTCTCAAAGCACAGTTCATGCTGCCGATTTAGGAGATCTGGTTCTCCCTGGCGAAACCTTCCGAGATCTTTTCGAGCTCGGACCGGAGGGAGGTGTGTGGTGGTTGGATGTGGTCAACCCTACCGATGAGGAATTGGGAGCTATCTCCCGGGCTTTCTCTATTCACCCGCTGACAACGGAGGATATTCAAACGCAAGAAGCTCGCGAGAAGGTTGAATTGTTCAAACAGTATTACTTTGTCTGTTTCCGGACCTTCTTCCAAATGGACAAAACCAGCGAGGAATTCCTCGAGCCTGTCAATTTCTACATGGTTGTCTTCCGAGACGGTGTCCTCACTTTCTCCTTCGAGGAGAACCCTCACGCATCCAATGTTCGGAAACGTATTGGAAAGCTGCGAGACTATGTGTCTCTCAGCAGTGACTGGATCTGTTACGCGATGATTGACGACATCGTGGATAGCTTCGGCCCCGTGATTCGAGATGTGGAATTAGAGTCCGAGGCGATCGAAGATCATGTCTTCATCGCCCGAGTGGACGATTTCGAATCCTTCCTCCCTCGAATTGGAGGCCTACGCAAGAAAGTTATGAGTTTGATGCGCCTGCTAGGCGGCAAGGCCGATGTCATTCGTGGATTCTCCAAGCGCTGCAACGAGCAGTACTCGGTTACCCCCGTGGTGACATTGGTCTTTACCTGGGTGATATCCAGGATCACGTTGTGACCATGATGTCGAACTTGGCACATTTCGAAAAAATGCTCAGCCGATCTCATACCAATTACTTGGCTCAGCTGAATGTCACCAACTTGGTGTTGGGAAACCACGTCAACAAGGTGCTCAGCAAGGTCACCCTGATTGCTACGATTCTGGTCCCCATGAACCTGATCTGTGGTCTGTTCGGTATGAACGTAGAAGTTCCCGGCATGCACACAGAAGGATTGGCATGGTGGTTCGGCATTCTTGGAGTGATGGCAGGTATTGTTGTTTTGAGCATTGGGATAGCTCGCTGGCAGAGACTGGTTTGAACTATTTTTTTTTAATCGTCGGTTATGTTAACTTGTTATCTTTCCTTGACTTTTTCCCTGTTGTTTTGCATCTTGCATCTTGCCTGTCTGTGATAGTTAGTTTATTTTGTCACCTGTTTTTCGTTGATTTCAACCTACGATAACTATTTGATAGGATGCGGTTTTCATATTATTTTGTCGACGACCTGAGTATAAACTTGTTGAAATTTTGTGTGGCCTGAAATCGAATCTATAACACATTAGAATCATTTAACCTCATCCCAGTACCTTATGAAGCCACAGCTAGTGTTCCCGCAGAGGTCTGAGCTGTCTGGCTCATGTTCCTTTGTTCATTTGCATTGTCGGCTGCCTGTCCCTGTAGGAGTTTGGCGTCCTGATTGGATAGTGTCAACTCAATTTACTCAGAGACCCTGACTCTGAGCGCCTTCATACAAGCGGTATAGTAGCTAAGATAGGAAAGTTCCGACAGAGGAATTACCTAGTTAGGTACCTAGGTACCTAGGTAGGTACGTGCGGGTCTTACGTGTTCTGAATAAGGCAGCAAGGCATTCAGTTTGATAAGGCTGGCATTTTCCACGATAGCCAGCCTCATCCAAACAACGCTCACGTCGACTACATGCAGCCGTTGATTTCGCCTCCAGGAAGAGGTTTACAGCTGGTGTATACCACCGCTTGCCCGTGATATCTTTACTGGTCAACTTAAAATTCTGACCATTGGCTGTGCAGCGACACCGTCCCCTCCGTCTTTCCATGCGACACCAATACAACGCGCTGCAGTGCTATCTTACTGCAACGATTAGCGCGATCTTCCTCATTTTCGTACTCGCATGCGACTCGGTCGCCTATGCCGATTCTCCCCATGGGCCGGATACAGAGAATGCCTTGAACCTCCAAGGGTTGGTTACGAGTGACGGGGCTGGACTCCCACTTGCGCTAGACTCGTTCAATGGGTTGGAACTTCGTGACAGTGTCGACGGAGATGGCGAGTCAAATGGACTGGACCTCGTGCGAAGGAACCCTATTGCCTCGAAAGCACTGGGTAACAATCAGTTCGAGACGCGGGACTCGTTCCAGATCGGCGATGTCCACCGGTACTACCTGCCCAAATCAGTGGTGAACGGCAAACACGACACCCCAGGCCCCGGTCTTCCTGCATTCATAAATTCTACGAAGGACGGCGATGACCCGGACGATGTGCTACCGAAACGAGACATGGACTTTTCGAAACGAGCGACGACGACAGTTTACCTGTCGCTCACGACCTGCCAGAAACCATATACCAACAAAACCGGCGCCCATGGCGCATTCCCGCAGTTGCAACTGTATGTGTCCAATTCGGATAAACTGCAAGAGCCAGGACCGGGCCAAGACGACTCGCTGCAGGAAGTATACACTGCCGTTGGCGGGTATGTGGGAATCACCGTAGACACGGACAGCGACGTCTTCATCGGCGTCGCAGCGCCCAATTCAACCGACTACACGGGAGTTTACAAGTACCAGATCGCAGCATCCATCGATGCCTTTTTCCACAATACCGTGGACGATGAACCAAATTTGTTCTTCATCGACGCGGACATGTCAGCCGCGCTGCTGGTGACGAATAACCTGACCCTGTCCGAGAAGAACTCCACGAATTACAAGCAGTGGATGGACATCGTCCCTCCATATACTATGTTTGCGCACAACATCAACGATACAGCACTGGTGGGCTTGGAGAAATCATTCTGCGCCCTCGATGCGCTTTCGCAGGTGGGCCGGATCAGCAATTCCACCGAGGTTGGCATGACCAATCGCGGACTTGGGAATAAGCCCAAAGAACAGTTCTATATTACTGGACTGAACCAGAGTTCATCGTACAGCGGTCTTCTGGCGATGGTGGGCAATTCGACCGTGTCCGGGAATGGTATCATCGGCGGCGGCGGCCAGGTATGGCAGCCGATGAATTTCACGACCAAAGCAGGTGAGCAACCCTAAGCAACACATACAAAAAAAGTAACAACCCATTCTAACTATCCTCCAGACAACAACTGTGGCGTGCTATTCAACCTAACCTTCTGCTCCGAAGTCGCATACGCAGTCCCCTCGAACCCTAAACTAAGCGTCGACAAGCTCCGCACAATCTACGATGACTACGCCGCCGCCTTTTACCAGAACTTCACCTATTCCCTCCAACAAATCCAATGTAAAACCAACGAAGAATCCATGTTCTCCCTCGCCGTCAACTGCGAAGACTGCGCAGATGCCTACAAACAATGGCTCTGCGGGGTCACGATCCCCCGCTGCGCGGATTACAGTAGCAATGCCGACTACCTGGTCGTCCGTAACGCAGGCCAAGCTTTCATCAATGGCACTTCTCTGCCGGATGATAGCCCCTTCCGGCAATCCGTGGCGTCGAATAAATCCCGCAATGCGATCATTGATGAGCAGATCATGCCGGGTCCCTATAAGGAGATCCTGCCTTGTCAGGATATCTGTCATACTCTCGTCCAGAGTTGTCCATCTGCACTTGGCTTCGGATGCCCTGAGGGCGCCTGGATGAATTCTTCTTATGGACATCGGAATTCAGATGGTATTATTACTTGCTCTTATCTTGGGGCTGTGTATTATTTGAACCTTGGAGTGAAGATGGGTGCTTGGGGTTGGATGTTTAGTTTGTTGGTTATGGGGGTTATGTATTTACTGTAAATAGACATGATCAATGTGTACTTGAGTTCTCTCTACAGCATACAACATAGAAGTGTATTGCAGTGCGGTATGATATTACCCTTTTCGGTCAAAGGAGGGTCCCCCTCCAAGATAACTCCGCACCCGGAGACTCCGGTGATGAGTACATGAATGTATCCTTTTATCTCTTTCTATCCCCCACTTTTTCATAAATTGTCTTCCAAAAAGTAGACTCCTCAGTTGACCACTACTCTATCTTCCCAATCCTCATCATGGAATCAGGTCTTCCTACAACTTTCCGCAAGGGCGCTACAGCACTCATCACAGGAGCCGCTTCAGGCATCGGACTTGCAACAGCACAACGATGCCATTCACACGGAATGAACCTAGTGCTTGTCGACAACAATGCCGCAGCCCTTTCACAGGCAACAGCGAACTTCCCTTCCGACGAACACAACCCCACCACCACAAGCCATATCCTCGATGTCTCATCATTCGATGCATGGCGACAATTGGTTCCTAAACTCGAATCCCAATTCCCAGACGGTATAGATTTCCTGATGCTCAATGCCGGCGCGGGTATCAGTCCGAACGGGGGTACGGGGATGTGGGGGGATCCGACATACTTCGAGAAGACTTTTGCAATCAACACGATGGGCTATACGAATGGCATCGTCGCCCTTTTGAAAATGATTACCCGGAACAAAGATGTCGTCCGGTCTATTGTCTTGACGGGCTCAAAGCAGGGAATTACTAATCCGCCTGGTAACCCGGCCTACAATGCCTCCAAGGCTGCTGTGCGGTCTATTGCCGAGCATTTGGCGTTCGATTTAGATAAAGATGCTCCGAATGTTAGTGTTCATTTGTTGATTCCTGGTTGGACTTATACTGGTTTCAACGCGGGATACTTCAGGGAGAAGCCGGCGGGGGCGTGGACTTCTGAGCAGGTGGTTGATTTCATGATGGGGAAAATGGCCGAGAAGAAGTTTTATATTTTGTGTCCGGATAATGAGGTTTCGGAGGAGATTGATCGAAAGCGCATTCTGTGGTCTACTGGGGATATCGTGGAGGGTCGACCCCCGTTGTCTCGTTGGAGGGAGGAGTGGAAAGAAGATGCTAAGCGTGAGATTGAAGGTTAGTCTGTCTACTAGTATATTACACTGATAGATCTGTAAATAAACAATTCACCATTCCAACTCTTTCTTCTAACTCTTCTTCTCACTCTTCTTCTCACTCTTCTTCTCTTTCGGAACTCCTGTCCCATCTTCAACCCCCCAATCCCCCATCTCTCCCTCCAAATCCCAATCTCTTGCTTCCACAAATCCCTTACACAAGGATCACACGAACTGCCACAACAATCACCCAGTCCTGGTGGAGGTGGTGGGTCATTGTATGTTCGTTCTCCTGCGCGGAGGAGTTGTTTTGTGCGGGTTTTGGTTAGACGGGTCTTGTAGAGGGTTTTGTATAGGGGTGTTTCTTCCGGGGTGTAATATGGTTCTGGGGTTGGTTGTGTTGAGTCTGAGGTTGAGGTTGAGATTTCGATTGATATTGTAGTTGGACTTTTGGACTCTTTCTCTTTTTCTTTGTCGTGGCTTGGAGATATTGTGGTTGTTGGCTCTGGAGATGTGCTTGAGAAAGAGAATGGCGAGAGGAGACTTGAGAGTAGGTTTGCTGGGGAATAGATTGGAGGTTTGGACGTGTGTTTTTCTATCTCGTTCTCTTCTTCTTCTGTGGTTGGTGTCTCTGCTGATGTGGTGATCTCTTTGGCTTTGGAGATATTTTCAGATGCAGTAGCAGATGTTGATGTTGATGCCGATGAGGCAGTCTTGCTCTCTAGGGTCTCGATGCTCATTTTGATATTTGATATAATTTGATATACCAGATATCGAAATCAAATACAAGTAAATTGAATAATATAGAGCCCAATCTAGTCTCGAATCAGAAACTATCATCTGTTAGTGACATTTGAGAAGACTAGTTATATAGAGCAAACCCACAATTTCTAGGCCAAATCCAAGCTTCCAAAGATCAAAGATCAAATTTCATAAAGATGTAATAATATTTATGGACATGTCGTTGCATTAAAGAATAAGAAGAGTATGGAGGCCGAATTACCGGGGCCCGGGTAAGGATTGTTTTCGTGCGGTTCCTGTTCGTCCCGATGTCCACTCTCCCTATGTCTAGGACTTATGTTGTAGTTTATATTGCTCGCATTTCTATTAGAAATAATAGTACGTCCAGTACGGATAAAAAGAAATGAAACGCTGTTGGAGTCTATGGACTCGGTGGTATCGTGCAGCTTAAAAAATAAAAAGAAGTAAAGTCATGAACCATCATCACTTTCGCCTCGGCGTAGGCATTCGCTTCGGTGTAGTTGTCCAAACATCCCCCAATCCAGGCCTTCCCTCTCCAGACCTCGGCGTCCCCATCTGCTGCAACAGCCTCTGCGCTCCAGGCGTGAGCATCTTTCCCCGCGCACTCCCTCCACCATAGACAGAGCCCCTACTAGACCCAGCTCCAGGCGTAGACCCAGGCGTAGACCGAAGTCCAAAGTCCAACCGAGGACTATTAGCAAATCGTGGCGTTAACGAGACAGGCGTCTTCGTAACACGGGCGGCCTGTTCAGCACGCTTGTTCCGCGCCATACGATCGACCATGCGGTGATGCAGTGCTTCACGCTTGCTAGTCTCGCTAAGTTGGAAGGGACTTGGCTTTTCAGAGGTCGGTCCGAGGAGGCGCCAATCGACTTCCATGTCATCAGTTTTGGAGCTGGAGCCATATGTGAATTCAGGCTCCGGCTCGTCCTCGTCGACGAAGGCGTAGCCGTTCACCCTCGGGGTTTCGCTTCCTGCGTAGGCGGATGCGGCTTCGGACTCGCTGAGATGCGGTCGGCCGGCGATGGCGTCTTGGATGGCGGATATGGAGGGTGAAGGGGGGCACGGCGCTGACGGCGTCCGCTGCTGCTGCGGCATGTGGGTCTAAGAGTCTGGTATTTTGGTAGAGAGTTCGCTTGGGGGCCGCTCGGGATGTCATTTCTGCTTTCTGCGGGAGCGTCTCGTGGGTATCCTCCACCGAGGAGGGGAGGAACATGAGGGTGTTGTCCGGGCGGCTTTTCCACGTGTCTGGATTAGCGGGGCGGGCGTCCAGGTCTGTTTTGATGGCGGGCTGGGCATGCTCATCCCGTTTAATAAGGCCCATTTGTGGGTTTCCCCCTTGAGCTGTGATGCGCTTGATTTCCTGTTGGTGGTGTGCAATTTGTCGAGCGGAGGGAATTTTATTCCCGCTCCAAAGCCAGGGATATTTACTCCGTCGCTTTTCATTCTGCTTGTCCAGGACTTTGTTGAAAGACTCGTTGTCGTCGCTGGTGTACTTTTCCTGGAACGCGACCAGTCCCATGTTCGATACATCGGGAATATGCCGATTTTCTGTTTCAGTTGCCGCTGTGGAAGTCGATAGGACAGACATGGGAGTATCACCTCCCCAGCCATGTGGAGTGTCACCCGGCCGTCCCGGGAAATGCTGTGGTGTGCTCGGAACCGATGCATGGTCTGACTTTCGTCTTGCATTCGACCCCGGGGTGGGCGTGCGCATGACGCCTGCTAACTTCTTTTTGGAGCTTGCAATCCATGCTTTGTCCTTCGATTCACATGCTTCCAGGTACTCTTGTTTGATCTGTGTCTCGAGCAAGCCCGGAAAGAAGTCGCGGGCGATAATGTGGGACAAAGCGTTGCTGTATATGTCTTCATCAAGGACAGTCGCAGGACGTTTGATTCGCTTCGGGGGTGGTGGAGGAGGCATAAGCTGGCCAGCCGATTGCTTGACCAGCTCATGTGAAGGAGTAGACGCCATGTTTGTAGAGCAAACCTTGGAAGGCTTGGGGAATGAATGACTAGGTGGATGAGTTGGTGGCGATAAGATAGCGGGTCAGATGATTCTTTGATCTAACCGCTTTAGGTAAGCATCTGAATTGAACTTGAAATTGAAAAAAAAATTGAAAAAAAAATGGCAGATCTCTTGGCTGCTAGTTTAGCGGTGGGTGAATCTTTATAGGTTAGACTACTGTAACATATTTCACAGATCATATCATACCTAGATAGTTCTAAAGTAGAGTATCTCGATATGCTGGGATAGTTGGGCTTGTCCATTGGTGTGGTCCCACTCGTACTTATATAAATGGTCGGGTTCTGTTGTCATTGGCGTTACCCATTGAACTAGATTGCTACTACTATGTGGGGAGAAAGCAGAGGAAGAATCATTAATTAATTAACCAGAAATGCGGGGGTTCATATAACCTGTTTAACCCATCTGAACAATTCTCATTCTGTAGCAAATAGCAAACATACATGCATGGGATGATTGTTCAATAGTTGGGATTGCATCTAGGGAGGGTTCTTGGAGGGCATTAGAATTAAATATAGGGGATTGAAAGGTAGGTTTAAAGAGACAATGTTAATTTCAAATTTAATTATCATAAAGCTTTACTTTTTACAAGGGGTACCTACTTTTATTAGAGGTTTACATACTATTATCAAAGGACGCATCCTTAAAATAACTCAATCAAAAAGATTGTAGGTATAACCCACCTAGTAGTCGAAAGTCGATCAAAGGGTCAGATCAAGGCGATTCAATATCAAAGAAGTGTAGTCTTCCCCCTGCTAACCATAAACAAGGCCTAGTAAGCGGGTAGTATATACTATATCTATTCTTGATATCAAAGGTTTATTCTTAGTATCAAAGCGATAAATGTAGACCTATTGTTCTCTAATATCGAACAAGGACATCCTTTGTGTAGAGCATGACCAAAGGATAGCTATTTATACCATATAGCCAACAATAATAAATACTTAAATACTTCGAAGAAGCGCAATATGTAGAATAATATATCATTCCATATCATAGAACATAAATCGACGACAATATATATCCAATGGATCCAACAAGGTTCAATGTCGCTGCTCTAACCACACTCAACGGCCTCGCACAGGCAGCGTTTGACACAGCAATCAACGCATATGTACAGAACCCAATTATCCCCTTTACCCATGATCGACTCTGCGCTATTTGTAAGCTACTCACCCTCTCCCCAGCCGACATCGCACTATTCCCAAATATTCCAGCCCTTATTACAGCATACCAAGTGGCACCTGCAAACCGCTTCATCGTCCGTAATGCATTGCTAATATGGAGGGGACACATACTCACGCCAGCGACTATCCCAGCGCATATCACACTCCAACCAGCGGATTGGGATTATTACTTGTACGGTCGCAGATGCCATCACTGCTGCAGTACGAACTGGATGTAATACATGCTTTGACTTTGTCCACCCCTTCATCATTGACAATCGGATCACACAGTACAACGAGAACGGTAATTCGCTTGTCTATGTTGCACTTCGCGCAGGTAGACCTCCGCAATGGGCCGAGTTGGGCCAGGACCTTAGACCCATAGACCAACCAGCAGTGGGCTATGGGCCCTACCTTCAAAGACCAACTAAGCCTATAGCCCATTAGTGGGGGCCTATGAGGCCCCCAACAAAGCCCATTTCTATACAGAAATCCAGTCTTAGCGCTCATAAACCTACTAAATAATGCCTGTTTTTTACGTATGTTCTAGTCTGTAAGCTTACTTAGAAGATCTCGGCCCGCTAGCCCTATTCTAGCCTAATACGGGGGTTCAATAGGTGATAGATTATCAATGTGTAGTATATATATTTCGTTTGTTTTTATTGCCAGGATTATCAACCTATCCCCGCCTTTATGTCCCAAGCCAAATGCCTCGCCAGACAGATTCAAATATAAGCCCGGCAACTTTGTTCTTAGATAGAAAAATGAACAAGATAGTTCTAGATGGAACACCTGACGGTATAATCTAGTCATAAATCCTTTCCATATTACGCGTACTGATCTATAATGCTACCTAGCAATTTTTGCGGAGCACGCAAGCGCTACTGGACGGAACTTAGCAACCGTACTTGACCAGCTGAAGGATATGTGATGTTAGCTTGTTTTTCCCGTAGCCATATCGGGAATCAACGGGTTGCCTACCTATTACTAGAACTCCAAGAATGGTTACTAGTAAATGGGAAATACTAATGTCATCGGGTAATCGGGCTAAGATTGTCCTTGTCCGTACTTATCCATGGTGTTGAGATACTCTACTGTAGAGCTATCTAGGTATGTTATGATCCATTGGCATGCAGTGCAATATTTTACAACAGTCTACCCTATATAGGTTCGAGATCTGCCAATTTCCTTCAAATTCAATTCAGATCCAATTCAGAATCAATTCAGATTCAATGAATCGGCCCTCATGTGGTAGGTTAGACTTGGCGTACATAGATCTAATAGTTAGAGTTCCTGTTAGAGAGAGATCCAGAGGGGTTGATATAGTCTGCAGAACAAACAATGCAAACATTGACCCTTTCCCGATTAGGCTTAGTAGCCATGCCCAATTAGGCATAGTAGCACTCCATCAAACAAAGAACAAAGAACGATCTTGACATGTGATGAAGCATGTGATAATTGTCAATTGCCTCTTTGGGACTACACTCTCAGAACAGTATGTAGTTATATAGTTTTAACAGTTGTAGATAGTTCTCTTCCTCTCTCTCCTCTTGCAACTCAGAGATTTCCAGTGCACTACTATTTTCATCTTAGTCCCACTGCCTCATCTCTATCCCTCTTCTACTTTTTGTTTGTTCCAACTTATTAATATTTCTTCGTCTATCTTGATTGCCATTATTACCTACATTGACATCCAGTCACAATGTCGTCTTTGACAAACGAAACCCTCCCTGGTATCAATCAAACTCCCCAGACAACTCCTATCACGCCATTTGGTACCTCTCCTGCATCAAAATATCTAGGCCCGGATTTCCTAAACGCCCTCCCTGTCGAGCTATTGCTATCAATAGCAGATTTCCTTCTACCTGAGGATATCTACTGCCTCTCTTTTTGCAACCGTCGACTTCTCGCAATATCCTGGAGTCGAACAAAGCACCAATACCACGAGGAAAGAAAAGTCAAGTTGGCTTTCTTGCGTCGGCTTGAACGTGATAACCCGCAATACTTGACTTGCAGTACCTGCGAAATCCTTCATGCTGTGGATGGTACATCAGAGCCCTTTGAGATATCATCTGCAGAACATACCTACCCGCCTCGCGTCGACTGCCCTGTAGGTACGCCTGGAGGCAATACCTTCAATCCTGCCTGGATGGATCTACAGAACCATCTCGGTCCATCCTCTCGTTATAGGCTCCACTTTTCTCATCTGGTGCTTGCTATGAGACAATTCTACTACGGACCTCAGTACGGAATTAGTACAGATGCACTGTCCTTCACCGAAGTGACAAACGAATTTGTGGATGGATCCAAAGTCTTGGCCCCAACTGCGCTATTTTCAATTGAGGCACAGATATGCCCTACACCACCGGGTCTACACTTGCGAATCCAGGAGATCACGTCATTGGAGAACCCACGCAAACTATTCGCCGAAGAAGACTATTTACAACCGGGTGACGATTACGGCGCCAACCTGCCAATTTGCAAACACAGATCAGAGACATTTTGGATGATGGCTATTCCCCGGGGTATATACCCGGCCCTGGAGTCTTCCACCTGCGAGCATTGCAACATAGACTATGAGATTCAAACGGTTATGGATCCACCAAATGATCGTATCGCCATAGTCACAACAAGATGGATTAACCTTGGCGCCGGTCTCAGCCCAGATGATCTCCTATGGAGACTCAACACGAACCCACCGTGTTCGTGGAGAGATCCTGAACTTGAATCGGAGCCACCAGACTTGGAATGGGAAATCGTCGACTGGAGTCCTCGTTGTACATTCGAAGCCATTGAAAATACCTCGCTTGGAGATTTGACTGCTCGCAATATGTCTTATATCCAAGACCAGAGATATGAAACTGAGATGGTACCAAACCCCCTCAGTAACTCTCCCTCCTGGGCATTGTGGAATGGGGCATGGTCTTGATTATGATGAGATGGGTGGAACAGAAAGATGCACAACAGTTGCTGCTTGGATGATTTTGAATTTATTTGAATCTTTACAACAACTTTCTATTCTATGTCTCTTTGAAGTACATTCGTACATTCCTACAGTATCTCTTTACTAAAGTCAACTACACTACACCGATACTTGCAAAGTCACGCCAACGAATGGTATTGGAGCAGGTGAGCTCCTCTATAAGAATCAAAGTCTATAACAAAAAGAGAAAAAAAAAAAAAAACCAGGGACTAGCGAATGACCCCAAAACAAAATCCAAAATGTCCTCCAAAGGATCCTTTTCCTTTTCCTTTTCCTCTTTTTCTGTTTTCCCAAATCACCCTTCCAAGACACCAGGCCAGTAAAAATTCGCTATCGCTGAGAAATGCATCAAGGTGAAAGATTGACCACAGTTGAAACACACAGAACAAAAAAAAAAAGAAAAACGTATGGCTCACAGGCAACGACAAGACAAGTTAAACATAAACACAAGGAAAAACACAGATCGTGGACTCGTTGAGAGAGGGTTGTTGGAGGGGTGTCTATCGGATGACAAAGCGAGAAATGTGAGATAGATATGCAAGGGGTTGAAATAAGGAAAAAGAAAGAAATCAACACAAAATAGGGAGTTGATAATAACGATAGTAACACTCAGTGAGCGGTTGTTGGGAAAAGAGAGTAAGATGGCGAGCGAGCCTTCCTCCGATTCGGGTTTCTGGGAGGAACAGGAGGCAAAGGAGCCTCGAATTTTATCGGTTGGGACTCGACCTCCGAAATAGACTTGGCGCGGTCATGAAGCGACACGGTGAGATCCCCGCCCTCGAGGCTCGTGCTGCTGCCATTCTGGAGGAAGTGTGCTTCGGCCAGACTCTTGGTCTGGCGGTGGTGGGAAGATGATGCAGGGCGGGTAAGTGCCTCGCCAGCTGTCATGCGGTCTGTTGGCATGAGCTCGCGGCTGCTGGACAAGCTGTGGATGAGCTCTGGGACGCTGTTCGTCGTCGAGACGGAGGAGCGGTGCTTGCGCACGATGGAGGCTGCGCGTGAAAGCATCAGGCTCTCTTGCGAGTTGCACTTGCTTATCGGGGAGAAGCTGCTGCGCGGGGAGATGGGACCCATGCCCTGCGAGAAGGGAAAGTGGCGGTCTGATTCGCCATCAGTCGTTATGTACTCCTCGTACAATGGCTCGTGGGAGATTGGTTTGCCCATTGATGGGAGGATCGAGGAACTGACGGGATGGAAATAGTCTGCGCCACGCGCGATGAACTCCTGCTCGTAGTCTGCGGTTGCCGGGGTGGGGACGGAGTGGGAGGGCATCGATTGCGCTGGGCTGGGGTCTAGGTCTGGGGTTGGTAGGGCGGACGTGCTCAATGGGCTCGGCTGGAGGTGTCGGGTTTTCGGGGCCAGCCACGGGCCCTCACTGGACGCTACGCCGACTTGCGGGCGTGCTTCATCCAGGGATGTTCGAGACCAATCGAAGTTGGAGGTGGACTCGGCTGCGTGCTCATAGCAGTAGTCGATATCTGCATCCCACGAGTCATACAATTCATCCTCGTATGAAAATCGGTGCAGGCTGGCGATCGGCTCGGGTGGTGTGATCTCCACCTGGGCGCGAGGGGTGTCCGTGTCCTGAATATGTTGAGGAAGTGTCGGCGAGCCCAGCGCTTCAGAGAACTTCCTAGAGAGCCCCTCGGCCACATAGATGGACACTGGAGCTTCATGCTCGCTGGTGCTGGTGCTGGGTGACTGGGTATTGGCAGGAGGTGGGCTGGCTTGAGAAGTTGTGCCAGAATGGGGGCGTCCCATGCTGGACTCAGGGCTGTCCCAATACCGGGTTCCTTCCTCTTCCTCCGGAACATCTTCCAAATCATAGTGACTGCCGATGGACGAGGTCCTGGTGCTGTCATCTGTGGGCTCGGGGCTGAAAAACCGGGTTGGCTGCGCTGATTGGACACACTCTGGATACGTCGTCACAGTGGACAACCCCAGAATCTCGTCAATGGCACGGGGTGCGGGCTCATCGGTCTCAGGCGGGGGAGTATCTGGCACAGCAGGAGGTGGGGGAGTGGTGGGGCACGACCGGGGATATCTGGAGACTGGCCGCGAGAAGTTCTCGTTGGCGCGAGATTCTCTGCGTGCATGGCTCTGGTATGTTTTTGGAGAAGCCGGCGGGCTTACGCTAGGCACATCCACCGTGGTGGCAGTTCCAAGCGAGCCGAGGTCATCACTGGAGAAATTCCGGAAATGAATATCCTCGGCTTGGATACCCTTCAGACCGGTCTGGGGCCGTTGAGATGCTCGGATGGCCGAAAACTCAGTGACGAGATCGTTCTCGCGTGTTTGATCCAAAGCCTGGAATTGCGAGGGGTTGGTATGAGTCAAGTGGTGGAAGTCGAAAGGATCCGAAATAATGCTTTTCAAGCGCTCGCCTATATCGATTGTCGAGGGTCAATTGGGTCCACAATTTCAGCTGTCAGCTGAGTGGCTGGCAGCACTTACTGTGATCGGTATGGCGGGCGCGACGGCCAAACATCTCCCTCTCAGGCCGGGCCTTCTCACGATCGGCCTCGTCTTCCTCGTCCAGCGTGGCGACGATGTTGATCTTGCTACCCTGTCGACGTAGGATGCGGCTTCCCCGCGCCAAAAAGGACCGGGACGGCTTGTCCTGCTTATCGGAGCGGAGCCCCAATGACGAACCAGCTCGCTCGTCAGAGACAATTGAACTATCTGTCGAGGTCATGGAAGAACCCGGTGAGCGGCGTGAAGAAGTGGAGGTGGTGGTATTGCTTCTTGAACGACCGCTAAAGACAGATAGACGCTTGGGGCTGTGGGCGTGGGCAGTGGACCTGGAACGGATATGTGCGGCATGTTCTGGTTGCTCGTTGGACGAGTTCGTGGACGGACGGTCACTGCCGTCGTCGTTGTCCCAGGCTTTAGCCATTGGGAGTGGAAAGGTCGACATGGTAGGATGTGAAAGAGAGAAACTACACCATGATAAGATGAAATCTGGAGATCTCCGCCGACTACAACGTAAAGGAGCGAAAGTGGAAAGGAACGGTTCTCGAGTGGAACAGAAAGAGGTCGTGCCGATGATAATAAATTAATAGAATACTCGATGACGGGGGCAATACAAGACACGGAGCAGTAGTGGAGCCGCGTTCAGGGGTATTTATGGTATTTACTTTTCTTTTTCTTTTTCTTTTTCTTTTATTTTTTACTTATTTATTTATTTTTTTTTCTTTCCATTATTAGTATAGTTATGATGTATAATGTTATAGTCATATATCCTCTCCTATAATTTATGTGTTATTCTGTTCCTATCACTCTTTTTGTTTGAATTAGAACGGTTACACCATGCACTGAGCCGGGTTTATATAGATTTTTTGGTCGTTATTGATCATATTCCACACAAACAATCCAAAAAATGAGAGAACCAAAAAATAAAAATAGATAAAAATAAAGCAAATACAATATACACGGGATAATAACCAAGGGACGGACTTCGAATCCATGTCAAAGGACTTCGGGAATTCCCAGCATAGAGCCAAGTGTGCCTTAGTGGCATATTCATCGAGCCAGGGGGTTGGTTCCTGAACGTGCTGGAGACCCGCGTGTGGGGAAACGAAAAAAAGAAGCTATACCTTATTCAGCAAGTATCAACCCTCCGATACGCCCCGTTTTGATACCTTGGTACCAAGGTGTATTTATTTATTTCTTTTTTTGGTTATTTTTGGTTATTTTTGGTTATTTTTTTTACCCAAGGTTCCAACGTTCCACGGTTTACCGTTAGCTTTGACCCGTGGACACGGGTGAGAGGGGAAATACACACGATCTGGCTTATAGATTGTTCCTACTACAGTAGTACTCAGTAGTACTCCATATCCATGCATATTATCCTTGTAACAGATTGATGTCATTGGACAAGATAATCAATTGAATATCCAATGACAAGATTGAAACAGTTCCAAATTGTATTAAATCCTTACTCCCAAGGTAACAATGTTAGGACTTGAGTGGAGAGGGAGAGAGACAAGCCCTTATCGTGATAAGTTGGGGCGCACACTGGAAGCTTCCAAGGTTGGATCCATGGATGTCATTCCCTTTTCTTCCTCTCATACAACCATGTAGAAAGGGTGGTACATACCTAGGTACGGAGTTACATTGTAGTATTCTCTACATAGTATGTCTCTAATTGATTTCTATTTAATATCCCCGAGGTCTCCTCCAGGGCTTCCCTTCCTACAATCTCTGCCTTGCGTCCTGAAACTACGTAGAAACGCCTTTCCCCTTCCCCGCGTATAGCGGAGCCTCGGTTCAACGGCTTTCATCACAGGTTCCGGCCCTAAAACTGATTCTAGTGTTTAGTAAAAAAAAAACCTTAGGGCTTGGGAAACAGTCCCAGATCCAAATCTACTTTTTCGGGATCCGGTGGTGGGGTCCTAGTAGTCCATAATAACATTGTATTACAGAGGGCAATTAGAATGGTATTATAGCCTAGGTATACATGTGTCACGGCATTTCTCCAGTTTCTCTAATTTCTCTAGTTCAATCTCAACATCCCTGTAAAAAAGAGAGAAAAAAAGGTGGACAGGCAAGGATCTCCTATGCAAGTTTGTTCCTGTGATCTTACCTAGCTGTAGGGGCTGTTTAGTACGTACAAGCCTCGGGGAGTGCCGGTCTCCTACCTTATGCAAGTTGAGACCCCCTTTTTCTTTTTTTTTTTAAAAAAAAAAAAAAAATTGTTAAACGAATAAAATAAAATAAAAAGCAAAGCAAAGCGGATCAGACTACATGCAAACTTCACACTCCCTCGGGGATGCAAGATGAAGCTGAAGAATGTGAGTATCCGAGCATCGGGAGTCACCGCTCCCTTACTCCGTACATTTTACCTGTCGGAGAGTTGCATTTGTCTCAGGGCGGGGTATATCCATTGTGCCTGTACTGCCTGGTATGTGCATATTATCACCTTGGAAGTACGAGGTAGTACATACAACATAGAATTGATTAGTAGAATATAGACATGGATTCTTGCACATTACTTTTTACCGTTGCGGTGACTCGTCACACACATACGGAGTACATATATTCTAATATTCACTTGGCCAAGTCTATAAGTCAACAACCAACTTCTTATCTGTGGAAGTGGACCTTAACCTGCAGCTAGCACGATTCGAAACAAGAGAGAAACCCGAGAAAAGTAAAATGAAACAGAAGCAAAACTGTTTCGTTCTATTTCAGAAGTTCAATATACCGCTAGTTGTAGTGTGTGTATCGAAGTTGTAAACAGCGGATCTGTGAATTACTATAACTATGTGGTTAGTTTTAAAGGCCCCGTCGTCGCAACAGCGTTTCATTTCCTACTATTCGTACTCAATTTTTAGCCCTTCCCGTCTAAGGACTAGAGTTCCTATCCTAGTTGTTTAACGGACTCCGTACTTCATGTCATTAAATTAGGTCTCAAGGGCCATTTAATCACCCTTTTGAAACGTTAACACATAAATTGAAACTGCCAGGAAAAGAAGAAAAAAGCCACCCGCCATACAGTGAACCACTTCTTGTTTCATTCTTCTTATTCGAACTGCATATCCCATACCGCTGTTGCGAACTCGACGAGTTCTTGTGTCCCAAAGACAATATCACGTTCTCTGTTGTCTTCTGCGGGGCGTCAAAAAAGAGATTCAAAAGGGATCACGAGTTGAGGTAGAGGATGATAGGGATCAAAGTAGACTTCACCATTGGACTTCCTACGAATGGTGAAGTGCGTGGTATTGATAGGGCGGGAGATTTCGGAGCTCCATTCAAACCGGTCGATCGTGATCTCGGGCCTTTTTATATAGAGATTAACTCCGATGGCCACATTGGCCTCCTGTCTTTCTAGATCTATCCAGTACTGAGAATCACGGCGGAGCTTGGCGTAGCTTTCCGAATTTACAACCTCTATAACAACCGTAGGTCTCCTAGGAGCGTGGCGGGGAGGTTTTCGTGGACCCCACGCCCCGTCTGCCTGCTTCCTTGTGCCATCTATAGCAACCATCCCTATGCTTCCCCAGGCCTGAATTTTGCTAGCCAGGCCCATTGACGTAAGGGCCAGTTTAAACATGCCCTCGAACTCCCTTGTGGCTTGTTCGTGCCCCGGGCCGGGTATTTTGACGATGAGGATCTTGGTTTTCGGATTAAAGAATGTAATGGTACGAACAGGAGGATCCGAGTTGATGAAGTCGTGCTCGAAAGTCGTAGGTTCAATAAAGAATACAAGGTGTTCGCTGTGGTCTTCCTTCTCGGGGCTATAATCTTCGTCTGGCGTGTTCTTAGTGTTGTCTCTCTCACCAAGGATATTCTGACGACTACAGTCATCTATAAACCTACTGCGGTGGAAAGTGCGAATGCGCATTGGCTTTTGCGCCGAGCCGGATTGAAGGGTGCCTTCCATCTGTGGCAGCGTGACCGAATGGTCTTTGAGTCCTTCCCAACTTGCACCACTTTCCCGCGCTTTTGCCTTTTGTCCAATGCGGAAAGAACCATAGAGACGATCCTCCTCAATCAAGATGATCTGGCAGAAATCGTCCATACCACTGTAGCGATAAGCTTTGACCGAAGGAGATAATCCTTCGATATCCTGCGAGCCATGTTCGATGGTGCTATCATTCAACTCGAACATCTCTGTTGTTAGAGAAGAGCTCAGGCTAATATAAAGCATGAACTGGCTTAACAAGAAAGCTACCTCACTATGACTGGACTGTGTCGTAATATCCCGTCGGTTTATATCTTCAGACAATTTATCATCGAGGACAAACGTCGTAGTGGGTGAGGGTGAGTGGGAAGGTTGTTCGAGCCTGACTTCAGTACTGCACAGATGATCGAAATCTCCTGGTCGAGACATTGCGGCGAGAGAAAAAGGGCGAGAGAAGAAGTGCGAGCGGATGAGCACATCCATCCATGGTATAGATTAGGATTAACGAATGCCTTAGGTGTCAACCCTCTGTCGGTATTGACCACATTGCAAAATAGCTTAAATTAGCTACCAAATATGGAGGATTAATAAATGCTCCGGTACACTGGCGTCTTACACTGACACCCTCTACTAGTCAGGGAAGACTTCGTAAGTAGTCTGAGTGCCGAGTAGTATAGAGCATCTCCAAGCTAGGTGCAGAATAGTGGTGTTACATGGCGGTAGGCGGTCAAAGGACTATCAAAGTTACGAGTGGTAAGGCAAGCCGTTTCTTTCAAAGGCGGTAATTTTCGTATTCTAATTGTAAAGTGGGTTCCTGATGATCTCGTAGTCTAGAACGTTTACTCCGTACATTATTATATAACATTTATACCTGCGTTGTGCGGCAATTGATATTCTTAATTACTTACTTACTTACCCCTTTCAGGTCCTAACTAGCACGTTCCCCATCTCCACCAGTCGTTCGCGTTTCGCGTCCATCGTCATCGAGCACCTGTACGTACCTATGTTTATCTTGTAGGTCCAAGCGTCCCCGGTGTTCTTCCTCAGCTTAGATCTGTGTCAGGAATATGCCCCGAAATTGAAGTGTTGTCGGCTGTCAGATCTTTTTTTTTGCTTTTTTTGGTGGCATTTGAGCAACAAAGATGGGAGATCAAATAGAGTAGGACCCTCAAAAAGTAGAAATATGGCTTAATAGTATAACTAATGTAGGCACAATATTGGTATAAGATGGATACGATGTATAGGTTCACGGGTATAATAATAAAGATACATATGTAGGGACTCCTCTGTAGAATAGCGCAACACACAAGGTTTGAAGGAACACGTTCTAGAATAACACTTACTCCGTCCCCATATTCATTCACATGGTTCGCCTATCACGAACACGTCCCTATTCATACTTCCCGGAGATCGACAGTTCTAATTCCCCTGAAACAAGGTCCCCGACGTCGGCAGTTCTGTACGAACTCTGTCCTTCATACTCCGTACCTTGCAAGTCCGTCATTTTCCCGAGGCTCGACGACCGTCAATCCCAAGGTTGTACGGAGTCCTCCGTACTCCATAGTTTAGTATCGCATGCCGCGCTATCATCCTAGCCTGAGCCTATCTGGGTAAAGTACATATGTATGCGCCCGTTGGAACTCTGTATGTATCATGTGGGGAATGGATCAATCTAATATGGTACTAGTTATAGGGGCATACCTAGTATTATTGAGGCTGGATCCCCCAAACCATATTTCATTCCATTAGAGATAGACGCGTTGCTTGTCAATATTGAATGTTACTTTTATGTGTGACGATCCAAGTGCCCGGTGATGTAACCTAGCATTGACCGTTAAACTGAGTACTACATGGTAGGGCATGGTAGGGATTAGCTAACTATATCGATGGTACTCCATACTCCGTACTCCGACAGGGGGCTCCTTTCATGTTCCATGGGATATTTTGTGATACATGGGATCTTCAGGGTTATGTTCTTCGGAATGACCAAATAGTAGACAAACAATTGGGAGACTATTGGACATAGTCCATTCTCATTCTTTCTTTGTATACTTCGTAGTCCATATATCATATTCGAGGCATTGGGAAATGAGAAATCGAAGTATTGAAATGTTGAAGCCTAGAATTTTGATTCCCACCTGGGCAGGTACTAAAGCTCATTAATATTAAAAGTGATAACAAGCCAAATCCATAACACCAGTTCTTTGTCATTCGAGTCCCAAAACAGAGAAGTCCACCCAATTCTAAGATCTAAGTTGCATGTTAGCTTTTCTCTTCTAGAGACAAAGGATGAAATGCCCACAATTAGATCACAAGATCTAGATGGTCCATTCGTGGTTAGGTGATCTACCTTATTATATCCACCAGATCCTCAGAGCTTGGAAGTTCTAGCCTTGTTGAGAGTGACGTCTAATTCCATAACCAAGTCGGTTACTTCACTTGGCAACTCCGATGGTGTCAGCACCGCCGACATTGGCAGCGGCACCAAAATCGCCGATAACATCACGCTTGTGATCGAGAACACCAACAGTCTCTTCACCGCCGACATTGACAGCAGCACCAAGATCGTCGATAACATCACGCTTGTGATCGAGAACACCAACGGTCTCTTCGCCGCCGACATTGACAGCAGCACCAAGATCGTCGATAATATCACGCTTGCGATCGAGAACACCAACGGTCTCTTCGCCGCCAACGTTGGCAGCGGCACCAAGATCGCCGATAACATCACGCTTGCGATCGAGAACACCAACGGTCTCTTCGCCGCCAACGTTGGCAGCGGCACCAAGATCGTCGATAACATCACGCTTGCGATCGAGAACACCAACGGTCTCGTCACCGCCGACATTAACGGCAACGCCGGCATCACCGATTACATCGTTCTGATTGGGGACGGGGACAGCAAGTGCCGTGACCGCCAACAGGATGGGGGTGAAGACATTGTACCGCATTTTGATATGGTTCCAACTGTGATGTTCGTTAGAGGATTACTTGACCTTGGATCTGGTAGCTCTGTACTCACCGAATTAGGCGTACTTGAATTTGAAGTAGATTATAAGAGGACAATGAAGAAGACTGAACAGCAATATCCCTTGGGAGATGACCGGATCATTTAAATATCTATTGTCATATTGAGTTTGCGGCAACGATATCTGACGTACTTCAGGACCTTAAGCACCTGAACACCAGCTTTCTACTTGGCTACTCCGTGGACAGTGTTGGACATAGATCTCGATCTATGACATATGCGTAGTTGTGATGGAGTGGATGTCCAATAAGGGTTACGGATTGGAAAACCTTAGATGCCCTCGGTAAATGGCCTTGTGATTAACATAGAAGATATATGCCGTGATGGCAGACAATAGTCATAGAGATTTCGATAAATGATCCGTCGATTGAGGTTTTGTTTGACGATCCTTAACTTGTTTGGCGCGGTGAAGCCCAAAACGGCGATTCCCGTTGATATCATCGGTGGTCTCGATGTTACGCTGAACCTGGATCTCTTCTATTGTATATGGGTTTTGTTGCTTTGTTTTTGTTTTGCTGAAATGACTGGCTTTAATAGCAATTGAATGGTAGGATGTGAATATCCTTAACATTCTACTATACTCGTACTCGTGTCCAACTGGGACTTTCTAGGACCTCCAAGCTTAACGAAAATAAAGTCATCTCTTGTAAGGTAGGGATCTCCACATATACTAGTGAACCATAGAAACATAAAGTCTTAAACCTGGTACCCAAAAAAGCCGGGTATCCATTTTCCATGTCGATATAGTTAGTGGCGTCTCCTACAGGCTAAATTCGATAACTCCGGTACCTTACTTGTCCGATCCTCGCCGATCTACTATTTCATAGACAGCGATGGAAAGATAAAGCTTTTCGTTCGCTATAATAATTGCAAACCTGGAGATGGTCAAGAAATCGAGTATGTTCTATTCAGCATCAAGCATCGCTCTTCGAATCGTACAAAGAAAATATGTTTAATTAATTCTAGCTTAAGAATATCAAGGTTTTCTTTAATAGTATGTCGATATGTATAATATGCAGTACACACCCATACTAATGTTTTTTAAGAAGAGACATTAATTGATACAAAACTAGCGACTAATAGGATGAAATGAAATGTTTAATGGATTATTCCATATATAAGATAAATCCTTCCAATAACATGAATAAACGAATTAGCCCCCAAATTCAACGAGCAATGAGACACAGCCTACTATACTAGTTATATGCAATTACGTGGAGCACGTTTAATTCACTCACATACTCTACCCCGTACTCATACTCCGTCCTCCGGAGTCCTCCGTAGCTATTCGGTGCTCCGTACGGTGCTACTCCATAGGAGAAAGACAGGGATCAATCCCACCAGTGGCCACACATGTAATTCCAATATTTCTGGATCCTGCGTAAGCCATGTCTGACAATCCCCCGAGCCCATTCCCTATGAAGCCATTATCCCCAGCGGAATTCCGAGAGATTAGCTCCGGGAAGATTCAGATTCAGATTCAGATTCGTTCGATAGAATACTCCGTTATGGTACACGTACGGAGTATAGATTAATTCAATGCAGGTGTTCTTGCGCTTGGGCCTGGCTTTGTTCCTTTTTAATTTATTTCTTTTTCCCCCCTCTTTTTTTTGGAGTTAGTTGTGAAGGGCAAGGGCCTTTTAGATCTGTAAAGACCGGTATTTGTCCGATTTCTTTTGTGGGTATTCGGATTTGATTCCAATGGTGGGAGACTGATGACGACGGCTAATAATTACACGGTTGAAGTACAAGGGGGAGAGAGAGAAATGTATCAATTGTAGTTCAGATGGATCCCTTACCACAGACGCCTGGATGAAGAAAAATGGAAAATAGAACTTGGAATAGTAACAAAATAAAAAGAAAAGTAGTTGTAATGTGGCATAAAATTCACTCCTGCATCTCCGTGTCCTCGGTAGGCTTCGAAGGCTCCTCACCGAACAGTTCATCGTCGTTGTCTTCATGGTCAGACTTGGCAGCTTGAACTTCGGCTTGCACTTCGGCTTGCACTTCCTCTTCCTCTCCCTCATCCTCATCCTCGTCATCATCAGCAATACGACGAGAGACCTTGCCACGACGACGTGAGGCAGCCTCTTCAGCCGGCTCGTCGTCACCACCAAACAGATCCTCCTGGTCTTCACCAGCAGGCCCAGCAGCAGCCTCTTCATCATCAGAATCAACAACCATCTCACTGCTCTTGTACTTGCCAGGCTTCTCAGACTTCTCAGACTTGGCCGCCTGAGCCTTCCCGCCCGATCGGCGTTCCAAGCGGCGACGCTTCTTGGGCGCCGTCTCGCCCTCGCTCTCGGCTGCGCTGTGCACAGCAGGAGCATCGCCTTCATCTTCATCCGCAATGAAATCATCCCCGCCCTTCTTCTTGCGCTTGCTGGTAGTCTTCTTCTTGCGCTTGACCCGGTCACCGGTCTCGGAGTCCTGGGTCAATTCGGCCTCCTCGCGAGCGCGCTCGTCTTCGGCGCGCTGCGCGGCATGTCGTTGCACTTCTTCGACCATCTGGGCACGTTCCTCGGCGATGCGCTTCTTGCGCTCCATCTCGACCTCTTGGGCCTTGCGCAGCTCCTCTTCCCGGATTCGCGCGGCTTCTTCGCGGGCTTCACGGGCTTGCTGGAGCTTCGCCGCGTTCTTCTCTTCGTACTCCTTCTGGCTCTGCATGGCGCGGTCAAGCTGCTTGCTGATAGTGCGGCCCATGTTGGCTCGCTGTTCCAATGCGGCACTGGGGTAGGGCGGGTTCTTCTCCTTGGAAAGACGCTCAAAGGTTTCGATGGCCTCCTTGAGACCCTCCGCGGCCTCTTGGACATCCTGGAGCGTCTTCTGAGTAGGCTGTAGACCGTACGCGAGCGAGGCGATTTGGTTCTGCACGAAAGCAACATTGAACTGCAGGTGAAGCTGATCCGCAGAGACATCGCGTGCGCGCGTGGCGTAGTCTAGTGCTGTCTTCATTGCGGCCAAGTTCGCCTCCTGCTTGCCGCGGAGCCACCATACACGACCAAGACAAGCCAGGATTTGCACATCGCGCTGGCGATCCTTCGACAATGCAGCCTCGTAGTGCTCAATTGACCGTGAGAACTGGCGGAGCTCAGCGAAGACATGTCCCAAGTTGAGGTACACGCTCGGGTCCTTGAGTGTATCACGAATCTTGGACAAGATTTGCACGGCAGAGCTGTGTTCTTTCCTGTCGTCGATCAGGGCGATCGCAATACCCTGGGCCGCATATGCGTTCTTGGGGTCCAGTTGGAGAGCCTTATCAAAGAACTCAACAGCACGCTGGTAAATCTTGCGACGCTTTTCCTTATCTTGATCTGTGTCACGGCGCATGTCACGGGCGGCAAGGAGATGCACATTGCCCATTCCAGTCAACGCGTAGCGATCGTGCTTGTCGTAGTACTGCAACGTGTGCTTGAAATGACGTTGCTCGCTATCTTCAGCAAGGTTGGCGACTCGCTTCTTCGCCTTGCTGAGATACCATCCGTAGAGCGACCGAACTTCCAGATTTGTGCTGTCCGCTTCATACAGCTTGCCAATCCTCTTCGGGCCCTCATCTGTAGGGCTCTGGCGAAGGGCAATATATGTCAGGCGTGCGTTGGCTTCCGTGTAGTCAGCGTGACGCTCTAGAAGACCTTCGTAGACCTTCTTGGCTTCGTCCCACATGTCGGCTGCCTCGTAAGTCCGTCCAAGGTTGTAGCTGACCGTGGTGACGAGCGCATCGGTATCAGTGCCATCCTCTTTTTCTTTGGATTGCACACAGGCGTTGAGCGCAGACTGGAACAAGCCACGAGCCAGAGCGATCTTCTCATTCTGGTATAGGAAGCAGCCCATGTTGTTGAGGAGCTGCGGCGGGAGACTCTCCCTAAGAGCAGCGTTCAGCTTATCCTGGTCCTCGATATCAGGTCGAGCATCCTCAGGAATTTCAGCAATCTGGATCTGTTCCAGTTGGGTCAGGCACTGCATGCTCTTATCTGGAGCCGTGCCCTCGTAGAGACGAGAAAGATAAACAAGAACCGACTCGTCGGGTGAGATATTTTGCTTCTCATCCTTCCACATAGAGCGCACTGACTCAAGCAGAGTGATGGCTCGCTTTGCCTCGATTGACTTGTCTTCCTTGCTCCCTGACTTCTGAGCAGCAAAGACTTCTTCCGCATGAATAGCAGCAAGGAGGGTCATCGCCTCCGGGTTCTTTGATTGTTGGACAATCTTCTCTAGTCGGAACTTGGCACCGTCAAAGTCCTTGTTCGTGATTTGCATTTGCACAGCACCGAATTTGGCGGGAAGATAACCCTTGTCGGCTCCACCGCGGGCTTGATCCGAACGGTTGTAGAACTCTGCAGCACGGGCGTCATCACCTTCATAGTGCGACTTGCGACCAAGAAGGTACCAGCCGTCACTGGCAATAGACATAACATCTGTGTGCTCGATGGCTTTGCGTGCCAATGTCTCGACGGTGGGATATGATTTGCGGAGCAGGAAGTAGCTGGCGAACAAGGAGCAGGTCATCGGGTATTCCTTGTCCAGCTTGAATGCCTTTTGGGTGTATTGAGTCATGGCTAATTTGTACATTGACCCGAACATGGGGTCGGTGGTGGCTCGGCGGGAGCTGTCGTGGAGGTAGTAAACTGCGAGCAGGACGTTGGCGACCTTGGACTCGGGGTTCTGCATAGCGACGAAGGTTAGTTAATATATGAAAAAAAAAAGACTTGTAGCTTTCGTAACATACCAGAGACAGCGATCTCTCCCAAGCTACCTTGGCTTGATCCTTGAAGCCCAGCTGCCACAAGCAGCATCCTAGACCGATGCGAGGATCAGGGTCTGTGAGGTTAGGCATCTTGATCAGAGCCTTTTGGTATCCTTCGAGCGCATCTGCGTATCTTCCTAGCATGTAATGTGCGCGGGCACGTCCCAGAATAGCCATGATGTTCCGGCCACCAAAGGCCTTGGATGATTCGTCGAAACATTTCAGAGCCTGACGCAGCGACTCGACTCTTTCTGAGGTATCAATCGCGCCTGGACGAACAGCACGAGGCGGGTATAGTGATGCACGGAGGAGACACAAGACACCACGCGCCAGGAAAAGGGGAGGGTAAGCAGGGTTGAGCCGCGAGGCCTCGTTCAATGTCGATGTCGCAAGTTGGAGGTAGTGATCTTTGGTTTTGGCTTCCGAGTATAGTTCCCCTTCAGGTGCAACTCGAGGAGCGTGTCGGCTCTTCAGTAGCAGCATCCAGCAAATCCAGCCCAGCAGGCCGAGTTTCTCCTTTGTCGCTCCGTGGGCGACGGAGGCCAGACCCTTAGTCAAGATGTCGATGGCATGGTCGATCTGCTTTCGTTTCGCGTAGGCGAGCGCAATGATCACCCAGAAATTCTTGGCCGCTTTTTCGTTCTCCAGGAGGGTGCAAAGCTCAGTCGGGTCATCGGGGAGCTCGAGCAAGCTGACCTCGACTTCGCTGTCGAAGCTGGATGCGGGAATGTCGATAGCATCCGGGATGTCGGAAAAGCGCAGGTTGCTCAATGGGTTAGCTGAAGGTACAGCATCACCGTTGAGGCCATTGGTTTGGCCATTCTCAAGAGGCGTCATGGTGTGTCCGGGGACGGGAGGGATGAGGCCACTTTGCGAGTAGGTATGCGATTGTAGGAGCCTCAACTCATGATCAAGCGAGGCGGTCCATCAAATAATTTTCAGGATTAGGACCGGTGAGGTTAGCGACCTCTAAATGGGAGGAAACGCGAAAAAGTGACTCTCGGAGACTAAAAGAGCGGCGATGAGAAGGTGAGAATTGGATGACTGAAGTGGCTAGGCTGCACCGCCACAGTCCGCCACACTGCATACATTGAACAATAAGTGCATTCTCGCCTTTTCTGGTCTGAATGATTACTCTCTCCGATTATTTTGGAATAAAATAGAGCAGAATAAATGGAGAAAATGATATTACTAAATTTGCTAATGGGATATCTAGGAACGGGATTTAAAATCACAGCAACCAGCTAGTTACAAATTTGCAGAAGCAAGCAACACTGATCAGCACCACAAAGATAAGACCAAGCTCACTCCAATGATGCAGGCGACCATAAGACTCGACATATCCAGCTGAAGCAGCAACCTTCTGGCCATCTACTGCATGGTCGGTTTTGATCGAACCGGCCAAGTCGGATGGGAAGCGGCCCGTTTCGAAGTACTGATCCATGAGCTGATCCTTCTCGGCCCAGCGTGCTGTCAACCAGTCCTCAAACTCCTTCTGGTTATCGAGAGGAATCCTTGAGACCTGGAAGCGTCTCCAATGCATGTTGACTGAGGTCGGCGGCCGTCCTTGCAGATATGTGGAGCGGAGAGTAAAGTATTTATCAGGATAGCTTCCCTTTCTATAGGTAAATTGTCAGTACTGTTCCAGTAACAGGAAAGACGGAAAAATGGGCGGGAAAACATACGGTGGGCCTTCATAGGCTATAGTGCAATCATACACCCAGTCTACGGTTCCCTGCAACTGCTGAAGACAGAAGAACAGCCCTGTAGACCGCGGAAGAACCATGTGGTTGAATGAAGGCAGTCCCTGTTTCATTCCCCAAGCGTCACTGCGTCGCTTGGTATTAATGGACAGGTTTGTCCCCTCGGGGAATATTAGCAGCCACATGGGATCGTACTGTGGGCGGGCTGAGTTGGAGCCGGTGTAAAGTGTCTTCAGTTTCTCCAAACGATGCTGGAGCCTTGGTTTGTCGGACGTCCACTTGCGAGCCATGAAGATGAAACCGTAGAACATCATGCCAGTGCCCACGATAGGGATATACTTAAGCGACTCTTTCAGGATGATGAAGATGCGGCCATGCATCTGGTTGGTGTATGCAACCCACCAGAGGTAGACCCAATCAGTGTAGACCTGGTGGTTCGAGATCAGGACGAGACGCTCCGGGAACCTGGTCTCCAGCACTCCATCTTTCGATATATGGATTTGTCCACGCACGCTAGCATCACCACTGATCCGGAAAAGCGTTGGAGAACTCCATTGGGTGACAGCACTGAGAACTAGTCCAAAACATTGCTTTGTATATGCCATATACGAATAGTAGTAATATTTGTTGATCAGATACAGCGGGGCGCCGATTATTTGTGTCACGCAGATCGCCATTATACAGCAATCTGCCCACGTTATCAGCAGAAGCGAGCGTAGTAGCTGCATGGGAATGCCATGTTTGAGACGAGGCTCGGAAGGTGGTTTAGTCGAGAGCACCTGAAGATCCCCGGGATCCTTAGCGGTCGGTGGCTTGCGCTGTCGAACCTCGGCAGGCTCCATGGGGGAAATTTGAAGATCCGGGGGATCCGGGGGGCGGGGGGATCCCTGTTGCTTTAGAGACTTAAAGCTGGGGTAGAAAGCCAAGTATTAGACTGGAAGCCAGTGAATGCTTCTACAGCTGTACAGAGCTGACGCGCAGAAATGGTCTGGTCGGGTGCGGAGATAGTGATGATGGATAGATAGTATGGGCTTAGAACGTAACAAAAGCTAGACAGAAGCTAGAAGATGAAATAGTTTGCCATACCCCAGGGTAAAGAAGGGGATTATAAGGAAATGGATTGTGGAATCAAAAGAGATAAGTATTGAAGAGCTGGACAAGTTGGAGTACAAGTTGGAGAGTACAAAGTTGGAGAGTTTGGATAGTTTGGAGGGGAAAATCAGGCGGATATCTTTGTTGATCCAAAATGACGGTCACAGCCTCATAACGTCACCTTATGTTTCTCATGTCTGTTGTATTCAAATGTTTACTTTTGACAACTCTCTTTCTTTGTGATTCAACTATTCTGAGATACTACTCTGGTGTCAGCCCATTACCAGTTCCTATCTTGGGTTGAAAGATGGCGCGTTGATGTGAGTAAACTCAGGTCGAATCCTCTTGGAGTCCTCCTAACTGATGCACATGACCGGAGTCGATAGGCCTGCGATACTCCTTACAACATGCTCTGCGCCATCCTCCGCAGGAGTCCACGCCTCACCTTCCGCCATTTTTCCACGTCTCAACCCCGTCACGAGATCAAAGACATCGGCTCTTTGTCTCAGCGCCTAATACCAAAATACCAAGGTGTGGCTGTCTTGGAGCTATCTTGAACCAGTCTTGCTTCTGATTCGAGACTAATGCATTTTCTCAGAATCCTGCGACGGGGAGCTCCTGTGTCTCCAGTGGCCAGCACCGCCGCGAAATATCTTCCTGGTACGCAAAGACTGCGCCCCAGCAGTTACCGATTCTCTGATTGAATTCGTCAAGTAAGATCGAGAAACGCCCATGGAAATCAACTTGGCCCAAGGCTGACATCTTCAAGTCATGTTTCCTCTACATACCCATCTATCGCGGTGATTCTCGAGTCAAAGACTGCCGCGGAAGTACATTCGTCGCTCTCTTTCCCTGTCTACTCGGTTTCTCTCGACGAGAAAACGACCGCGCTTCACGATAAAGTTGATCTCACGGTGACACTGGGTGGTGATGGCACGATTCTACATGCAGCGTCCCTCTTCGCGACCTGCTCAAATGTTCCGCCCGTTCTATCATTCAGCATGGGTACATTGGGCTTTTTGAGTGAATGGAAGTTCTCCGAGTTTAAGCGAGCTTTCCGAGAAGTCTACATGTCTGGAGCCGGGGCGGGAGATCGAACGCCTGTGTTGGAAGAAATCCCGGGAGCAGCACCCACAAAACAGGAAACTCAGATGGGTCCGACCGGGTGGTCCTCCGTCCGGGGCAAATCAATGGGATCTACGCGCGGGGCCCGCATTCTGATGCGCAATCGATTGAAAGTAGGATTGTTTACCGCCGACGGAACCGAAACCACACCTATCCGGACCAAGACCGACCAGGGCCAGGGTGTATATGTGATGAATGAGCTCCTCATCCACCGTGGCAAGGAACCCCACCTGGCTGTGGTGGATGTGTTTGTGGGTGGGCGGTTCCTGACCGAGGCTGTGGCAGATGGAATTATAATTTCCACGCCGACGGGAAGTACAGCCTACAGCCTGAGTAGTGGGGGTAGTATTGTACATCCACTAGTCCCGTCCATCCTTTTGACACCGATTTGCCCGCGTAGCCTCAGCTTCCGGCCATTGGTTCTCCCTTCCAGTACCCCGATCACGCTGCGGCTAAGCGAAAAGAACCGTGGGCGTGAACTCGAAGTTAGTCTGGATGGTGTTAATTTAGGTCAAGGGATGGCAGTTGGTATGGAAGTCCGAGTTTGGAATGAGGAGATGCGTCATGGGAAGAATGAGTGGCAAGGTGGTGTACCCAGTGTGATGCGACGGAGTGTGGGATGTGAAGCCCACGAGGGATGGGTAGGTGGATTGAATGGATTACTGAAGTTCAATCATCCATTTGGAGAGCCATAATAATATAATATTGTACAATATAAACAATATAAACAATATAAACAATCTATTCTCTTTGATGCCATTGTTGATTGTTGTACTTTTTGGGAGTAGATATTGATCGTATACAGTGGGAGACCTGTGGATCCAATCTTCCCTCAATGGATTGTTCTGATTGGTCGACGCTTGTTTTCTGTAGATGAACTTCCAAAGTACTCTATCTCAGGGGACCATCTCTTTCCCCCTTTCTCTTCTTCATTCTTCCCCCACCAACTCACACAACTTGTTCTTCTGTTTTTTTGTTCTTTATTTTACGTCTGATATTGCTTGATTCTCGAGCATCCTCGCAGTGCGAGGACCGCTCCTGATTTTCCCCCAAAAAAGGTACCCATTTCTACCCCTCCTTGGATGATTCCCTTGATACTACTCTACTCTCTCCCCTTGTCCCGGGAAGTTCGTGTGTTCGATTGCCTCGACAAAGAAAATACCGTGAAACGTTCTTTGGATCATTCTTCCCCTGGGTGCAGTCGCTAACTCCTGTCTATTAGCGCTAGCCGGTCTGGAAGGCCTCAGGAGGTCTCGGCGCATTCGTTTACAACCATCCCCACCCTCCGAGCCGCCCCCCTGCGCGACCTGTGAAGTCCTCTGAACAATGACTTCGCATGGAAAGTATGTAACTACACTATATCCTACCCGAATCTGGTGGCATCTTACTCACCCTCCATAGCAACATGTACGCGCCGGAGCAGTTCATGAATCCGGGGCCAGCCCCCGGCCCCCTACCGATCGGCCCCCCAAGTTGACTCTACCCACCAACAGCACAACCTCCTCCTTTAGTCAGATGAGCTTGGACTCTCCGATCACACCGGGTCCATCCTCGGCCAATCTTTCGCTTTTCCCCAACACCACCAACCCTTCGCTGGCTACGACCCGAAGTAATACTAGCCAAAATGGAATCTCGATCATCAAAGAAGGCACCGTCCGCTGCAAAGAAGACAAATTCTTGGCAACCTGGAATACTCGTTACTTGATCCTACGTGAATACAAACTCGAATTTTTAAAGAGTGACTCTGGCAAGGTAGTGATTACCTTCCCTTTATCCTCGGTCACCGCTGTCGCTCGCTCCGAGGATTCCAAGATGGCCTTCGAGGTCACTCGCTTGGCCAACCCCAAGGATGCAAACTCCAAAGCCACGCTCCTTGCCCGTGACCTACCTACCAAGACCATTACCTGCGAGGTCAAATCCGACGATGAGATCTATGAGTGGATCGACAAGATCTATGAGCGCTGCCCTGGAATGGGCGGCGTCAGCAACCCGACAAACTTCAGTCACCGTGTTCACGTCGGCTTCGACCCGAATACCGGCGCTTTTGTCGGCCTGCCTCCAGAGTGGGAGAAGCTTTTGACGTCCTCCGCCATCACCAAAGAAGACTACAAGAAGAACCCCCAGGCTGTCATTGAGGTTCTTGAATTTTACTCGGATATCAAGATGCGCGAGCAGAATCCCCAATATTACGCTGGAATTAACTCCCCGCCCAATGGTAATGGTCAACCCAAGGCATACGGTAATAGTGTTGGGAGCTCCATTGCACCCCCGCGTCCTCCCCCGCCAGGACCTATGCAGCGCCTTGATAGCAGTCAGTCGAAACCGTCTGACGGTTCTATGCGCTCTGCGTCATCCTCGATTGGGCAGGCGGACCGTGCTGCAGACCACCAGCAGCAAGTGGAACGGATGAAGGAATTGGCTGACCAAGAGCGTCGCCGTGTGGAGGAGGAACGTCGCAACAAGGAGGAGCAAGATGCTTACAACGCATCCATCCCGCAGGCCCGTCCTAATATGGCTCAGCAGGAGCTTGGTGGATATGGTGGCGACGAGCCCTCACAGAATAGCCGCTACCAACCAAGCCGCCCGGCCCCTCAGGCTCCAGGCTCTGCTACTCGCCAGCAAGACCCCCGGCAGCTCACCGCACAGCGTCCCGCACCGGCGCCACCGTCACAGAGTCCCTACGGCCAAACCGCGCCCCGAGCACCCGGTGCTCCCAGAGCTGATGACCGCCAGGGCTCCCCAAGCTCCCGCTATCCTCCCAATGACCCTCGGGCCCCAGGCTCCGCGAACCGTCCTCAGCAAAACGGATCCAAGGGACAGGCTGGGCCCCCTCCAACACGCCTGCCGGCCCCCGTTCAAGCTGTGAAACCGTTGAACATCGCCAACAAGCAGAACGGGACCAAGCAGGCCGTCCCCGATGGCGTTCGTCAAGCTGAAGCTGCTCTTACCAAGAAGGCAGATCAGCCGCGCCAGAAGGAGGTACGCATGTCAGCCATGTCAGAGACCGAGGTCATGGAGCGACTGAGGTCTGTCGTATCTAAGGACAACCCAAACGAGTCTTACAGCAAACAGCGCAAGATTGGTCAGGGTGCGTCTGGGTCCGTGTATGTGGCGCGGGTTAAGGAAAGCGCACCTTCAGGTGTTGCGCACGAGCTTTACCGGACGTACGGCCCACGCTGCCAGGTGGCCATCAAGCAGATGGACCTGCGCAGTCAGCCCCGCAAGGAATTGATTGTCAACGAGATTATTGTCATGAAGGACAGCCAGCACCCGAATATTGTCAACTTCCTCGACTCATTCTTGCAGGAATCAAGCAATGAACTCTGGGTCGTCATGGAGTTCATGGAGGGTGGCGCGTTGACTGATGTGATTGATAATAACCCAGTAATTACTGAAGGTCAGATCGCGACAATTTGTGCTGAGGTATGTTTTCCACCCAATGGTTATCTTTCGTCCAGTTACTAACATTTTACCAACAGACTTGCAAGGGTCTGGCTCACCTTCACAACCAGAGCATCATCCACCGTGATATCAAGAGTGACAACGTCCTCCTCGACCGTGTTGGCCACGTCAAGATCACTGATTTCGGCTTTTGCGCCAAGCTAACCGAACACAAGAACAAGCGCGCTACCATGGTCGGCACCCCTTACTGGATGGCACCCGAGGTAGTCAAGCAGAAGGAGTATGGCCCCAAGGTTGACTGCTGGTCGCTGGGTATTATGGCCATCGAAATGATCGAGTCGGAGCCCCCCTACCTAAACGAAGAGCCCCTCAAAGCCCTCTACCTTATTGCCACCAACGGAACCCCTCGTCTCAAGAAGCCCGAGAAACTCAGCAAGGAGCTTAAGGCTTTCCTGAGTGTCTGCCTCTGTGTCAATGTTCACAGCCGCGCTTCTGCCGACGAGCTCCTCGCCCACGAATTCCTGCAGACTGGATGCAGCCTGGCTAGTCTGGCCGAGCTGCTCCGCTGGAAGAAGGCTACCAGCTAGTAAATTACCGAGGTTTTCCTTCTGCTCTTCATTTATCACACATTGGAGCAACAACATCTGGATCCCATTTACGCGTCTTCGTTTAGATGTCCATATCCCTTTGACATTCTCACAGGAACCACCCTCTTCCCGTGTGTTTCTTTCCCGTCTCCTTCACTGCACTCTTCTTCATTGAAGATATCATTGCTGCTCTGCTCTACTTACTTATCATACACAACCCTGGGCGTGGATAATCTGGCGTTTGATCGTTTGATCTGTTTTTTTTTTTTCCCTTTTTTTTTCCCTCCCTTCCAACTTCTCTGTCAACGCTTGCACACAACACATACCAGCTTTTCCCCCTATGACGTTCACGATTTTGCAATTTGCACAGTATCATGTGCCCTTGCACAAAAGCGAAGAATAGTTTCAAATCCCATGTGACTTTGACTTGAATTCATGAACAGAATAGTAAGCTGCTTATGTGGCCTCTGCTATTGATGATATAGGGCTTAGAATATTGTGAATACCCATTTGGCTAGAGATGATATGAGACAGGTCAGATTAAGATACCACTACGATGCCATTTTGCAATGTCTCTTCGATGTCTTATTGTTCTACCCTATGGTAGCAAGAGTGACACAAACAGCAAATAGGATCTAATATATCATTGGCAAGCGTAAAGCTAGTACATAGCAATTCATACGGAGTACATAAAGAACAAAAGAAACCCGAATCCCAAACCTTCTCCCAAACAAAAGCAAATCAAGGCAACTCCTCCCTCACAGCTCTACCCAACCCCCCACAAGCCTCACCAAACAAAACCCCAATAAGAACACCCTCCCCCTCAGAAGCCGTCCAACGCCCCGCATCCACAAGTGTCTGTTTCCAAATACTCTGCTCAGGCACAGAAAGATCCATCCAAGCTTGCAGCTTCTCCTCGGACTGCTCGGACTCATCCGCAGACGCAGACAAAGCAGTCTCAATAATCACGCTCTGCTCGGCATCTTGTCCTGCACTGCACCGCACAATGACAGATAGGGACTGCGGCGCGACGGTTTCGAGATCTGCGGGTGCGGCACCGGCGCGGTGTACGCGGTCCAGGATTTCGCGCAGGGATTCCACCTGCGAGTCTGTGGGGACGATAGTTGCCACTGGGAGATCGGTATCACTGCCGCTTCCGCGAGGTGCAAGAAGTGTATCGAAATACGTTAGCTTATCCCGCGGGGGTAGGACGTATTCCCGTGCGATGGCTCCGCGGATGCTATCTGGAAGCCATTCTGTGGCGCCGAGGATTGGAGGGGTTCCGCCGCGGATCTCGGCGAAGGCGAGCATGGCCACGCAGATTACGGATATGGAGAATAGTAGGATGATGATGCTGTAGACTAGTTCCCATATCTCGGAGGGGCCTGGGGTGACCAGGACGTAGCGTGGGGTGCAGGAGGAGGTTGGGAAGGGGGATAGTGGGAATGTGTGTACGACGACTGTGTTGCCCATACTGACTGAAGCGAGCTTGATATTCTGTGGGCCGACGTCTGGGGTTATGGGGTGTTGGGGCGCGATGAAGGTTGAGAAGGTGAGTTTTGTCATTGAGAAGGGGTGCACGTCGCGGAGGGTTGTGTAGGGGCGGAAGTTGCTGTAACCGCGGTTTGGTCCGTATTCTAGGGTGAATAGAGGGATGGAGTTGTCGCTACCGCTGACTGCGATGACTGTTTGCTGCTGGCCTTGCAGGTTTGTTCCGAGTTGGCAGATATCGAGTCCTAGCCCAATCTTCAATGTTCGAGGGAGCTTGCGACGTCGTAGGATTTTGGCCTTGCTCGATTTAGCACTGGGAAGTTGAAGAAGGACGAGCTCGCTACCCCCACGGTTTGGGACATTTAGCAGGAGGAGCAGGGTTCTAGGTGAGAGGAATCGCAGCGCGCGGAACTTGGGCCGTGCTGTGCGAGCTCCGCTGGCGGGCAGAGGAATGGTATAAACGGAGCGGACATCGGGGGAGCTGTTGGGGCGGCTAGAGGACGAAATCTCGCCAACCATGACATCTGGGCCGTTGGTGTATGCCACAAGGAACCGGCCGTGTGCATCGTCGGTCTTTTCCGAGTCATGCTCGAGGCTGACAAAGTCCAGGTCCTCGGCCTCTTCGTTGCCGCCTAATTGAATGCGGCCGATGACATCCTTCTCGCTTGGCGTCTTTGTGGCGCGGAAGAAGACAATCTCACCAGATGGTGCCAGACCCGTCGCAACGGCGCCGATCCGTGTGTGTTTCTCATCGCCATCCTTCCCTTTCGGCCACGGCGAGAGTCTCGTCACACGCTGGTATGTATCCGAAGAGCCTGGCCCATTCTTCGTTCGGAAGAGTGATGCTTGCGACAAAGCTAGAGCCTTTCCGGGAATGACCTCTTCCTCAGACTTGGTGTCCTTTTTCCCACTGCCTTCAGCGCTCTGTGTATTCGAACCAGCAACAGCGGTGGTTTTCTGCGGCACCTCAAACCGGAATGCGCGAAGATGTTGATTGTTGTTCTTTTTCTGCTGTTCGACAGAGCTATTTATACCGGCCAGGGTAACAAGCGAACCCGCCTCGTCGCCAACTAGCGGGGCCGCAGCCAGCGACGTTACTGAGTCTTCATCGCGCGATAGGTTCAATTCAACGGCCTCGGTAATCTCGCCACGACGGGATGTGTCAAGCAGTGACTATATAGAAATAATCGATTAGCATTTGCACGTTAAGACGGGGGTCTTCTCAAAATAGTGGGACTTGCGATCTTGTTTCCAACTCCGCTGCGCCCCTCGCCACCTCCACCGCCGACTAGGAGTCGACCGTTATTGCGAGGGTCGAAGTCTGCAGCGAAGAGCGGACACGAGAGTGTCAATTTGGCGGAGTGTACTGTGGGCGCCATCGTTGTGACAAAGTAGGAGTGTAAAGAGGACAGATGGGATGACGGAGGTGCCCCGGATTCTTGGCGCGGTGGCCGGATCTGGGCAGGCCATGCCTGGTTAGCGTGATGAACGACAAAAACTAAATTGTATAGATCTACAAATATGTGACTGCTCTGCTTTGATTGATATGAGAGGAAGGTGAAATATATATATAAAAAAAAAAGTAAATAATATTTTAGTATGCACTTTTAAGCATTCTAAGCCTCGATTTCCTGGGAAGTGAACTCGGGCAGGCGCTTGCGGATATCCTCCCATGTCTCGTCGCCCTCAACAAGAGACTTGACAGCTTGCAGGATCTCGTCCTCGCTGGCACGGACCTGCTTGGTGGTATCGCGGTCACGCAGGGTGAAGGTGCTGTCCTGAACGGACTGGAAGTCAACAGTGATACCGAAGGGTGTGCCCAGCTCGTCGTTGCGAGAGTAACGCTTGCCGATACTGGCGGAAGAGTCATCAACACGGTTGGAGACACCGGCCTTGCGCAGCTTCGAGGTCAGACGCTGGGTCAGAGGCTTGAAGGAGGCGTGAGTGGAGAGGGGAACCAGCAGGACCTTTGTGGGGGCAATAGTAGGAGGGAAAGAAAGGACCTATAGAGAGTATCGTCAGTACCAGTGCTCATGGCAAAAGAACACAGAAAGGGAAACTTACACCACGGGTCTCATCACCGGCACGGGACCAGTAGGAGTGCTCGATAATACTGTACATAATACGTCCAATACCGAAGGAGGGCTCGATCACGTTGGGGGTGTACTCGCGGACATTGTCAACACGGGTGCGCTTCTCAATCTTGATCAGGTCCTTCTCGATCTCAACCTTGCCAGATCCAACACCCTCAACGTCGACCTCAATTTTACCATCCTTCTCGAGGTCAAGAGACAGCTTCTCGCGCAGCTCCTGGGACAGAGCCTCAACAGCTGCCTCGACAGTCTTGGCATCCTTCTTGAACTTGGGACCGAACTTCTTCTTCTCAATGTTAACCTGGTACTCCTCGATACGCAGAGGCTCGGCACGAGCCTGGCGCACCACGAGAGGGGCACCGGTCTTGTCTTTGTGGACAGTCAGGTCGTAAGCGGAGCGGTCAGCACAACCAACACACTCGATCCAGCCGTAGCTGGTCTGCAGCTCGGCATCCCAGCAGTCAGTAGCGTAGTGAGCCATCTCATTGGCCATGTGCTGACGGAAGCGCAGCTTAGTAGGGTCAACACCCAGCTTCAACAGGAAGGACTGAATGCGGGCCAAGAAATAGCCCAGAGTCTCGTTGTCGACCAGTCCAGTCTCAACGGCCTTGCCGACGGTCATCGTGGTCAGCTTGGTGCTGCCGGACAGCTGCACGTTACGGTCGAGCAAGGTCAACTCAGTATCCTTGACCTCATCGAAGCGAGCGTGCTTCTTGCCACCCTCTGGGTCGACGTAGTGCTCAATCTCAGCCATGAGGAACTCGCGCACACGCAGGAGACCGGCACGGGGGAAATCTCGTTACGGAACGACTTGCCAATGGAAGCAGAGGCGAACGGCATCGACTGCTGGTTGAACTCCAGGAGCTTAGCGAAGTTCAGGAACTGACCCTGGGCGGTCTCGGGACGCAGGTATCCAGGCATGTTGGCGCTGGGGCCAATGGAGGTCTGGAACATGAGGTTGAAGGAGACCGGAGGCAGCACCTCGCCGCCGGTGACGGGGTTGCGGATGTCGTGCTTCTTGATAAGCTGCTCCAGTTCGGGACCACCGAAGTTGTCAATCTGTGCGAGGGTCTCCTCGTACTCCTTGACCAAGGCATCATCCAGCTTCTTGGCCTCGGTGCCCTTGGCCTTTCTCTTCTTCTTGGCCTCCTTCTCCTCGTCCACTTCAACTTTCTCGCCGCGCGCCTGCTTGTCACCGTTGAGGCGGGCCTCGAGCACCTCCTCAACCAAGTGGTCGGCACGGAAGATCTCGCCAGTCTTGGGGTCCTTGCACATCCAGTCGGCGAACTTGTCCACATGTCCACTGGTCTTGAGAATCTCGTGGGGGGTCAGCATGGTGGTGTCGACCTCGAGCATATCCTCCTCGAGTACGAAGTGCTTGCGCCACAAGTCGGTCATGTTGGCGATCAGGGCGGTTCCAGGTGGGCCATAATCGTACAGACCGGACACACCACCGTAAATTTCGAAGGAGGGGGTGTAGAACATGCGGCGGCGGAGCATGGAGTCCAGCACCGTGCGGTCGACGGCCTGGCCGGTCTTGGTGTTGACGGTGGCCATCTTGAAGTTTCGTTTGAGGGTCTTCGGGGGAGGGGTGTAGGTCCTAAACTGAGTCCGAAAGAAAGACGGAGGGGAAAGAAAAGAGCGGGGGGGAAATCGCAGGCGCGGCAATTGAGTCATCCACTATGCAGCCCCTCAGACACCACCGAGAGGACAAAAGAACAAGGGGTATAGAACGAGAGGAAAGCGAGCAATTGGGTCAATCTTTTTCTTTTTCTTTTTATTCAGGGGATTGATGACCACACCTTTTGGATCCTCGCACGTCCTGCCTGTGTTTTTAAGTACCGCCTTCCTAATAGGGTTCGACTATAAATTCTGCCATATATTTTCTGCCACTACTATATGTTGTATATGAATTCTGGTTTATATCATGTTTATGACTTTATTCTTTTGCGATTGACTTAATTGAGGAAGCTAGACATATGCCTGCTTAGTACTGTCCAGTTTTGGTTCTAAAGCACTCGGCCTGGCTGAAGAGCATGCACAGCTTAGGAGATATAGAGATAGAAAGGGATAAGAGGAAAGTGGAGGGACATAAAGGGGGATAAACAGAACAAGGTCAAAGAAGTACAGCAAGTAAGAGAGGTAGAGGGAACTTGCAGGAACAAAATTAATGAAGGACATAATGGTGTCACATTCGGTCTGGCCTAGGCGGGCTAGTTAGGAACGAGTGTGTGACCTTGATCTAAAACTGGATATGTGTGAAATCACGTGTCTGTAACTATCAATATAAATCAACCACCCGAGATGTATGATACTCTAGGCGGTATCTATGATACCGTCTTTTGATCAAATCCTTCTGAGCTCCGGTGCAGATGTCACAGCTCTCGCGGGACTGATATCCAATGCCCGCCGCCTTGGCTACTCGCAATGGTCACACATAGTGACTTTACTAAGAAAGAGTAGCTCTTATAGAATGCTAGCCTCGCTTCAGATATATTGGGTCTCTATTTGATGTTGCATTAACACCTTTATACATTTTCATCCGGAGTGTCAAAGGATGTGTGAGAAGACAACAAGATAAGGTATGACAGATAGTCAAGCAAGTGTAATTCCTGATTAGGGAGGTTTGACCGTCTATGGTATCTATAAAGTGATCTTAGGCGATTTAATGGCATCTAGGAGTGAATAGTACAGCACTGTCTACTGGGGTATCTATGTAAAATACTTATGCATTTTTTGTGATAGCGGGGCCTATAAAGTCAGGCTGGTCTAATAACCAGATATGGCCGTGGAAAATAGACCTACAAACCGGACCTAAAGGTATTTAAGCTTAACAACAACTTTAAAACTAAGTAGAAACCCAAACTTAAAAGTGCTCATAATAGTCTACCCGCAAGAACAAATCATTCTGCACCGGCCTCTGCTATTTAGTGGGTAATTGCGGCTAAGGGAAAAGGGTAAACTACCATATAGAGACTTCAGAAAGTATACGATCCTTGATTTATTTATCAAATCAGATAGATAAAGATACAGTAGACATGAGATTAAGGGAAAGAAGATAGTAGTCATGTTCCTCGTGTTGTCGTGGACTCCCACACTCCGAGACAGGTGCTTTGCTAATTTCTGTTATAAGGGACACGGAGCAGCAACTCGCAACTCGCATTGAATCTCTGAAAAGTGAAGAACCTGTAAGACAAATCTACTTTGTGTAGGAGGGAGTATACAACATAGGGAATTTTAACTATGGACGGCCTACCTAGATAGTCAAGGTTTATACCCTATACGTCTAATTCATCAGGTCCAATCAACGACGCGGTAGGTACGGGACAGGCCCCACATAATGCACCATGGTGGATTCCAAGGTTATAACGCTCGAATAAACACTACAGCTACACCGGTTACAGCGCAGGCTCTTTGTGGGTTGTCAATTGCAGCATGATCATCGGGAAGAAGTCAAGGGATTAAGCACAGATTGCCACCATTCATCCTCGCTGTAGAGCCACTTTGTTCCTAAAGTGACTTGCAGATATTGATGTCGGTGTAAACGCTTTGCAGGATTGAATGAAACTTCTACCTCAGAGAAGGTCAAATTCAACTCCAAGATCACCTCCAGTACGCGCGGAAGCAACCTGTTTCCAGAGTTGTAAGACTTCATCGCTTGGCTCGAATGCTTTCGGATCATCACCACTAGACCAGGTCGCATTCGCTACTCCATCCCTCACCCTGTACCAAAACTCGTGTCGATTCCAGCCGTTCGTCACTTCCAAAAACATATTATCCAGCTTGGGCATGCAAAGAGCGGCATTGGCAGCTGAGAGATAATACGCATTGAACAACTCGTGAATGGGCTTCGTTCGGAATATTTTGCCCATGCGGTCCTCCGGGGCAACCCAATCTTTATCGGTGTCATCCATCTCATTATAGTCTGAGCCTGGGTCACTCGAGTCATAATCATCCTCATCTTCAGATTCTTGAGGTTCTTCCTTTGCGAACATCCAGTTTCCACTTGGAGTCACCGGCTCGTATCCCAACCACAGATCGGTAAAATGGGGCCAAAAGGGAAGCTGGAGATTGTGATTCTGTTCATCTGTGGGCCAGAATACTTCTTTCCCAAGCACACATTGGGCCCCGCCCATTTCTTTCAATTGTTGCGAGAACTCCCGTAATCGCGAGCTTAGCGGGTCTGTTTTTCCTTTCACAGTTGAAGCCGCTGGGGAATAGTTTTGATCGAAAGGGGCCACATAGCAGAAGTCAAGGTGGAGCTGCCGTATACTGGCAGGCCATAGTAGAATAGAATCCGCGAAATCTAGATTTCCGATTTAGCACATACCCTACCGGGCATTGTTATGTAGCATACCGTTTCTATGGCGTTTTCTCAGTTCCGGGTCCCATTTGCAAGAATCATTCAAATCAAGCACCAGGCGGTATAGTCGAGGAAACTTCGACACGATGAAAGAACAAGAAGCTGGTTCAATTTTCCTTCTATTTATCGCTCCCATGATTTCAAGGGAAGTGATTGTGGGGACGACCGGGCATTTGACACCAACGACCTCCTCATTGAATTGAAGGTATGATCTTTCGAATCTCTTATCCTGGAAATCATTACTTGGGTAAGATTCTTCTATCCGCTTTTCCCGCTCCCTCTTTGCCTCAGGGGTTTGGCCTAGAAGATCATCGGGGGACCGGGCCTCAATCGAAAGACTAAATTCGGCTTCTTCTTTTGCTGGCCATTTGGCCAGAGTAATGAAAAGTGAGTGGATCGATGTGGTGAAAATCTTGTTGTTTCGTTGCATCTCCCCTTCATTTTCGTAGCGCGTGCACGCGTCGTCGTCATCATAGTATGACTCCAGTTGAATAATCAAATCGACCTTTCGAACATAGCTCCTTCTTCGGTCCCATGATAGCTCATTGAATTCTACTAACCGCTTGGGGGTGTTGATTTTGAGGGATGAAAATGTTTTGCTCTCGATAATCGCCTGCCAGTCGCGACTGATTGTTGCATATTTGGCTAAATGGAGGTCGTCGTGAGAAATGTACTCCAAGATAATGGATGTCAACTCTGGCGGTAGTGAAAAGCCCATATTGTCTTGTTGAGGACAAAGCTCAGGGGCCGTGCAATTCTGCCCATAGTTTATGTGTCAATCAACGACTACCCATCTTTTGACTGTCTCTCTGAGCTTGTACCAATGAAGCACAGGGGCTATACTAGTGCCTTTATGGATATCTGTGGATCATTGGCCACAAGGTTGCTCCTATAGGTATGTACTGGCGAGGACTGAGTTCAATGGTAAAAATTAACTCAATTAGCTACATAAATACATGGGTAGACTGAGGAACTAACTATGTTGTATGTTGTTAATCACTCATTTGGGATGATCAGTCACGTGTTGGAGCTGAACAGGTCAGCCTGATTCTGATCGTTAAGAAAGGGAGAAAATATGATACATAGAAGTCAGATTTTTGTATATACCCGTGAGGTCTAACTAATACTCTTTTTCATCTATCTTCCTTCTAAAAATGAGGTCTTGAGAATAGCAAGGTCGAATCGCAGATTGTCGCTCCGGGGAAAAGATTTTCCGAAATAATTTATTTCTCGGCGATCTTTACATTTTCCATTGACCTTCAACAGCAGCACTCTACCCCCTCAGCTTTCAAAAATGGTTGCCCCAGGCCGATCTGGACCGCCTCCGGGCGTCATGGGAGATATTAAAACCGGCAACAAGCTGCGCCGGAAGATGAACCATGTCAAGCGCAAGAGAGCCAAAGATGCTGCGCGCCGAGAGGAGCGCTACGCTTTTAAGAAAGAAGAATCCAAGAACCCCAAGTTGAAGGAAGAACGACTTCGCCGCAACATCCCTCTGACTCTCGAGCGGAAACGTGTATGGAACGAGGCCGACAACGACACCGAAGAAACTGGTCTGGGATTGAGCGTTGACGTCGAGCGCATCAAGCGCGCCAAGAAAGAAGAAGAAGACGAGCTCAATCGGCCATTAGAAGAGGGCGAGGATGACAGCGAGGCTCCGGAATCAGACAATGAGTCGGTCGACAGTATGCTTGAATCAGACAACAGTGGAGATGAAGACGAGGATGAGAAAAAGGATGAAGACAAAGATGCCAACCGCGGCCGGAAGAAGAACTCTCTCCGAACTGCGACAGAGCGTGCCACAAGTCCTACCCAGTCCACACGCAGCACAAACCTCAGCCTCGCTCCTGAAGCATTGGCCGCCAAATTCCCTACACTCTTCACCGAGGGACCCCCGCCCACCCCGAAAATCCTTATCACCACCGGCCTCAACTCTACCCTTCACGACCAAGCCGAGACCCTGACCGAAGTGTTCCCGAACAGCGTGTACATCCGGCGTAATGCCCACCGTTACTCGCACAAATTCTCAATCCGCGAGATTTCCAAATTCGCCGCAAACCGTAACTTCACAACGGTCGTCGTGTTGAATGAGGACCAGAAGCGTCCCTCTGGGCTAACGATGGTTCACTTGCCAGTCGGCCCGACTTTCCACTTCACCATCAGCAACTGGATCGAAGGAAAACGCCTTCCAGGACATGGTCGAGCCACCGAGCACTGGCCCGAGCTGATCCTCAATAACTTCCGTACTCCTCTCGGTCTTCTGACTGCCCACTTGTTCCGTGCACTCTTCCCACCTCAGCCGGAGTTTGAGGGCCGACAGGTTGTCACTTTGCACAACCAGCGTGATTACATTTTCGTCCGTCGTCACCGCTACGTCTTCCGTGAGAAGCGTGAGACGGAAAAGGCTGTCGTTGGTGCTGACGGCAAGGAAATGCTGGGTGCTGAGGGTATCCGCACCGGTCTACAGGAACTAGGACCTCGCTTCACTTTGAAGCTACGTCGTGTTGATAAGGGCATTCAGCGTGCCAGTGGCCAGGAGTGGGAATGGAAGGGTGGAATGGAGAAGACGAGAACTCTGTTCCAACTGTAAATGTCTCTTTATGTTGTTATACTCGGTTTTTGCATGGGGTTCGAGGGGAGTTATATCCAAAAGCTTGTCTAGTTTTCATACAAAATTCACGCCTTCTACAATCCTCTATGGACATTTATCTAGTCCATATGTAGTCATTAACTAACCAACCTCGGATGTGATAATGTATGGACAAGAAACATGCAATCATTATCATAGAAGGATAGAAGTATAATACTTGATTGTATTGCAGCGTCTGTGCAAATCTGCTTGTGCAATGGTTCCAATCCTTCTCTCTCTACTAGAATATAGGAGCAAGAGATCCGCATAGAAAAACCAAAGTTGCATAGCTAAGCTTGCCGGTTGTTACGTGTTACCCCAGCCGGGTAATTTGCGAGTCCTGGCAGTCTCCGAGAGTCTGCTGCAAGGACTGCATTTTTATTTCCTCGTTTTCTATCTTATAGCATGAAAGAAAGGGGGAAAAAGGAAAGAAGAGGTGATTCCCAGCGGGACATCGCCCAGACGGCCATCCAACCGCGAATGATAGCTCCAAGGGGGGTCATTAAGAGCAACCTTGCAAGTTTGACATTTCTCTTAACTACTACACTACCCGGGTTAATGCTGGGGATAAGCTTAACTTTATATAATCCCCACAATGAGACCACTCTGGTAGCATGAGATTGCCTTTTGCATATACATCAAGAGACCTTTCTCTCTTTTATTATATCCGTAGCTCTAAAGGTAAAAACATATCTGCTGAAGTCCTAGTATAAACATGGAGATAAGCAACATTGAGTTACTTATCTCCGATATCAGCCAAGTCACGAGACGATCTCCCGATCTCCCGTACCTGAACCAATGACAATAGAGAAAAAAAAAGAATACACTACTCTACTCTACACCATACACCACCCCACCCAAGGTCCTCTCCTCCGTCCAAATATGAATATGAATGCGGCCCCCCCGCCGCCTCCTCTTCATAGCCTCAATAGGCAATCCAGCCCCATACCACAACACCCGACACAGTGCCGGCCACCTCCTCCTAGACGCCTTAAAACCACAGCTCGAAACAACCCTCCCAAACACAGGCATCTACCACGAAACATGGAAAAGTCCATCCCTCATGAACACAACAGGCCCGAAACTCGTACGTCGACTAGAACAATGGGCAACCGAGCGAGCAAGCCGTCTCGAAAGAATCGCTAATCTTGCCGAAACTCGTTCATCAACGTCTTCAACTTCAACTTCCCCATCCTTCTCATCTCACTCTACATACCCCACAACCCTCGTCATCCTCCATGATGAACTATCCATTGCGCTGGGAAAGGTCCGTGTCGTACGTGGTGGTCCCGAGACGTTTAGTTTGCGTGGCCATCGTGGTCTTACGAGTATCTGTGAGACACTGCGCAAGAAGGGGTTGTATCCCGGCTCGTCTGGTGCGAGTAAGAAGAGTGTTCCTGGGCTGTTGGCGGATCTCTCTATTTTGCGTGTTGGTCTTGGGATCGGTCGGCCGTCGTCACATGAGACGGCTGATGTTTCGAAGTATGTGCTCGGGACGGTTACTGATAACGAGCTTAAGGCTTATCATGCTGCGGCGATGTCTGTTGTGCAAACTATTCGGGATGAGCTTGTCAGACCTGCGGGGAAGGTCTGATGTTTGATGTCTGCTGGTGTGGATTTTGTTGGAGTTCAATACAATTATACCCCCCTCCTCCCATCATGATTTGTCGTTTATATGCGGCGAAGACATGGAATTGAAGGAAGTGATTAAGAACAATGTAAAAGCCAGCTCGTGGATGTATTAAAATATACACAGAAAACGCCTGGAAGGCAAATGAACACGGGAAATAGCTGCCGATATCGACAGAAGCAAAGAAAAAAAAAGAAGCACGAGTCTGTTGCACAGATCTCAGCGCAGCAAAGAAACATCCGGTATTATGCTAATAGAGTAGTCGGTTTAAAAGAACAGCTCAAACGGTTCCAGCTATGCTCAAATCGCGAATCTCTTGCAACACCTCCTCAACCCGGTTATCCAGATCACCCTTAGCATACTGGTCACGAGTCTCGGCATCAAGATATTGCTGCACCTGCGCCATGCGGGAGTACGCCTCGGCACAGAAGCGGAGTTGGATCTTGACGAGAGCTTCGAAGCTGGGGTCGAGGTATGGCACACGTAAGTCGATCAGCTGGGGGAGTTCGTTGAAGAGCTGCTCGTTCAATTGCTCGTAAGCCTGCTTGGCCATCTCGGCTTCGCGCTCGGTCCGCGGCAGCTTGGTGACATCCTTGTCGGGCTTCTCGGCTAGCTTCTTGACCTTGGCGCGCATGGCGTCGTAGTCTAGTAGCTTGTGGTTGCGTTTTTTGATGCATTCGTTCACGTCGGGGAAGTAGGCGCAGAATCGGGAGATAGGATCGAGGACGGTAGTACTTTGGCTTCTGTCAGCACCATTCATGTGTACTCGTCAGTAAAAACAAGGATCTCCTACCGGTATGGCCCATCCAGAGCCTTGATGGTCTCGGCATCAAGATCTTCAACGGCCTGCTTGTAGCTCCGGCTCACACCATCTTTTGTTCCCGCATCACCGTAGAAAGCATCAATGGTCTCCGCAATGCGCATTTGGGAAGCCGTCATGGCTGGGAAGAAGTCAGCCAACTGAACAACCAGATCCAACAATCCGCAAAGCAAAAGGTCAGAGGTCACCCACCTCGTAGTGAATCCAGATACCCCTTCGCCTCCTTTTGCAACCGATTCGCGGCGGTCTCCATAGTCCGGTAACGACTATAATAAAAACAAAATCAGCTCCCATCCCAGTATAACTATATGAGGCAGCAGCAAGGACAACCATACCGTTCCTCGATCTCATAATCACGATCATTCGTTCTCTCAACATGTCCTATACAATTACCAAGTAAGCATATTATTCACTTGTTCACTTGTTCACTTATTTCGCATCCACATGGCGCGGCAAGTAAATCGTAGCGCGTGGCGGGTAGCTAATCTAGAATCGTGTCCGATCGCCCTCTTTCGATTCATTGCGGGGTAGAACTCGACCAACTCACCCGTCTTCATCATCACCTGTGTCGTCGCACGGTTGACATTCTTCTTGAACCCTGTCCATCCAAGCAGTTAGATTCGCTCAGACTAGCACCGGTTCATGAGTCCGAGGGTTGTGGGATGAGGCATACCTGCCCAAGACATGGTGGCGGTGTGGTTCGGGGGACCCGGAAATGAGGATCGGCTTTTGAGTTGGTGTGGGTTATAGATTGTGAGTGGGTATAGAATAGAAGGGAGTTGTGGATTGTAGTAGACTGCTGCAAAGGATCTCTGGAGTTAAGCTACAGGGAAAGTGAAGGTCCCGAACCTAATGCCAAGGGTAACCGACTTGGTCTGCCTTACGGGTTTGTGTGGCTGTGTGTGGCTGTGTGATTATGCTTATGTCATGTTTTCCGGATGCGGGTACGTCATGTGCTTGGTAGGGCTGGAGTCTACGGGACGAAGGTAAGTACGGAGTACCCACATGAACGGTTGCATTATTCACGTTCTGTCTGTGACGGGTCTGTTCGAGTTTTTTTTTTTTTTTTTTTTTTTCTGCAAAGATACATGCACTGGTAATACTAGGTAAATGATGCCAAGGTATATATTGTATAACTATATGTAGGTATCATGTTGGGACATTGGGACATTCCTACATACTCAAACCAGTTGCATATAACAAGTTAAACGCTGGTAGGCGAACAATCAAGAGAGAAATAATAAAATCTCATTTAATATAAATATAATTACCCCTTACCCCTTTGACAGTAGCATAGTGTAGGGATAGTGGGATAGTGTAGGGCTGGGCCTTACATCCACTGCAAAATACGCCTGCATGGCATGTGCATATCGAGGTATTCCACTTATCCACTTCGCCTAGGCTGTAATGTTGATGCCTAAGTAACTGAGTTATGTGTAGTTCTTGGCAGACACTTTCATGGCATTGCCAAGTGGGAATAACTGCAACTTTAGTCCGCTCAACGGCATCCCGGGTATCTAGGTATCTAGGCCAAAGAAGTTGGAAAGTTGGAATCCACCTCTTTAACTGCATATGTTCTATATTACCGAGTTCCATATAGACCGTAAAGTATGCAGTAATTAGAAGTTATAAGATGCATGTGGGAATAATGTGAATTATGTGAATAATGTGCTACATAGTCTGAAATATGACACACTCGATTGCATCAGACCGCTGGGGCTTCTTTTTTTCCCCCTCGCTAGCGTACGGAGGCTGCATGAATGATTATCATCGGGAAATACATCCAGATTGAATGATATCACGGGTCCTGATGCATTGGACAGATACCGGAGCTAATCTACTACATCGTGCTGATCGTCTCAATAACACTTGTGGTCCGTGAACCTTGCATTGGGTCGACAAGCGCGGATCTTCAGATTGATGTCATAGTTTGGGGGGGCTGTATGTAGATTGTGAACTTGCAGGTTGTGCCTGTTAGTTGTAAAATGGGAAATAGGACTTTGGGACGAACCTGGTATGCTGGAATAATGAACGTGTGCACCTTGCTACGTGGAACCAAGTCACATGTAACAGAATTCAAAATGCCTAAGCCATATATACACAAAGCATCGGTAATATGTACTAGAATCCGACGTCGAAACGAGAAAAGTCAAAGCAAAAAGGTTCAGACAACCTCCAGTGTAGGACATCCAACCTAGGTAGTTACCGATTCCTGTTCCTGTTCCTGTTCCTGTTGCTGTTGCGGGCAGCAGAGTACTCTGCCTACAATCATATTGCTAAGGAACCCCGGAAAACAGGACCTGCAACCCAAGTGAGAATATACCCATATTCGCCCGCTAAAGCTGGACTCGTCATAGTGGTACAAGGGAAGAGAAAAAAAGTTCAAATGGGGAATTTCCCGCCAACGCCGAGAGAAACTTGAAGGTATCTGCCGAAATCCCGTAACGCGAAAAAAAAAGGGAAAAAAAAAAAAAAAACGGACGAGATAAACTCCAAAAAGATTGAAAAGGATAACCGGATCAAAAGAAAAGGGTCATGATTCTTCGTTACATTGACGTTGAAGACATGAGGATCCAGGCAGAAAGACAAGCTAAAAGATGGATCGATGTAATAGAGCACAGGCTGAAGAGGCTGCAGGGATACAGTATGCGCCGGAGCCAACAGGATAAAATGGGGGAAAAAAAGGCAAACATAGAACCTTCGTAAAGGGCCTCCTTCTAAGTTAGGAGCATCCAAAGGATAAAAACCAGTAAGCATTTCCTTGAATGGGTCTATGATAAACAACCACCCTGTGTTGTAAAATGTGAAGGGATAATTTTCGGTCACGCCAAACCTTGAGCGGGCTTGTGACCTCAGCACCTGACAATCTTCGTATCGAAACGAATCAGAACCCTTCCTCGCCAGCCTTGCACAGCTTGATCTGGCGTATCCATTCGGATTTGAGGACCTGCGAGGCATTGATGCGGCGAGAAGGATTGGGATCAAGGATGGAGTAGATCACGTTGCGACAACGAGCCTGAGAAGTTATAAGTCTTTGCCCCGCAGTCGCAGGAGGGGGATTAGCTGTTCTTACCCGATGTAACGTCTCGATAGGAGCGTATCCATCCTCATGTTTGCGACCATCTAGGTACCGCTGGTAAAATTCGTCTTCGTCCTTGCGCGCCACGCGCCAGAGATGCCGTCCGGTGCGCATAGCCATGTAGATCACTCCGGTCGCCCAGAGATCAACCGCTCGGGGATCGAATTCCCTCTCAACGTATTCCTCCGGGGCGATATATGGAGCGGAACCGCAGAGTCCGGCGGTCATATGGGCTTCCTTCTCCCAAGCCATACGGAAGCATTCACCGTTACCAAAATCGGTGATCTTGAGTGCACCGTGAGTGGTCAGGAGCAGATTTTCGGGCTTGAGGTCACGGTGTGCGACACCCATTTCGTGCATATACTCAACACCCCGCATCAACTGCTTGAAAAAGCAGTCGGCTTCGGCGACTTCTAACTTGCCGGCAGCAAGGACTAGGGTGTACAGATCGCCACCAGCGCAGTATTCCATGACTTCACAGTAATCTCCCTTGGCATCCTGCAAGAGGTCCAAAGTGTGAATGACGTTCGGGTGACGAAGTGACGATGAGATGCAAAATTCAGAAGTCAGTCGTTTTTGATACTTCTTGGTTGTTTCTTGAGGCCGGCGACGGAACTCCTTGACAGCATACAACTGTTCACACTTGGAATCTTGAGGGTCAACCTTGTGCGAGATGCGCACGATACCGAAAGCACCGCGACCCACAATCTCCTGGCACTTGCCGTACTTGTCAACCAGAGAAGCAGTGGCATTCGGGCCACCCTTCTTATCGGCAGCCAGCTTATCACGCTCCGTCTTGAACTGATCAATCCAGGTCGACATCAGCGACAACTGTTGCTCATCCACCTGGTCATCCTTTTTCCGGCCACCCATCATATCCCGCAGTAGATCGGTAAGCTTCTCTTGCCGTCTAGCACTTCTGAGGTTATGTGAGTGGTTGCCGAGAGCTTCCGTGAGAATCTCGAATCGCTTGTGCACTGAAGCACCGTCTTTTGTCTTCTTATCATCCATCTTCTTCTTGTCGGACTTCTCCACGGGTTCGCTCTTGAGTGAGGGGTTTCGTGA